AATTTGAAACATTTGAATATCGACTTTCAATTGTTTTTGTTATTCAATTTAGACAAGAAAGATGGATACTGCGAAAATTCGAGTGATTTTTGAATACGAGTTCCGACGCGGAACTAACGCGGCAGAAACAGCCCGCAATATCAATGCTGCGTTTGGAGAGGGGTCTACTAATGAACGCACCGTGCGATTTTGGTTTAAACGCTTTCGTGATGGAAATTTCGACTTAAAGAACGAGCCACGAGGAAGACCGCCCACACGGTGAATAACGATGAATTAAGAGAGATAGTGGAAGCCGATCCTAGTCAAACTACCCAGGAATTAGCGGCATGGTTTAACGTTACCTTACCCACAATATTGACTCACTTGCGTCAAATCAATAAAATAAAAAAATACGAAAAATGGGTGCCTCATGATTTGACTGATCTGCAGAAAGAAACGCGTGTTGAAACTTGTGTTGCCTTGTTGAACCGGTACAGAAATGAAGGAATATTGGATCGAATTGTAACATGTGATGAAAAGTGGATTCTTTATGATAACCGGAAAAGAAAAATGCAATGGCTGACCCCAGGTCAAATGCCACGACAGTGTCCTAAAGCAAAACTTACCAATAAAAAGGTAATGGTAACTGTTTGGTGGTCTCAGCATGGTGTTATTCACTATAGTTTTCTCCGATCTGGTCAAGCAATAACGGCAGATGTCTATTGTGCCGAACTCCGAACCATGTTGACAAAACTAGCAGTAAAACCGCCCCGACTCATGAATCGATCTTCACCATTATTGCTCCACGACAACGCGAGACCTCACACAGCACGAGAAACCATTTTGTCCCTTCAGGAACTGCAGTTAGAAACCATTCGTCATCCTCCGTATTCACCAGACCTTGCTCCAACGGACTACCATTTTTTTCGTGATTTGGACAATTATCTACGTGACAAGAAGTTTTCTTCCCAGGAGGCAGTACAAAATGCTTTCACACAGTTTGTGCAGTCTAGATCGTCGGAGTTCTATCGCAAAGGCATTAATAACCTTCCCATTAGATGGCAGCAATGTATAGATAATAATGGCAACTATTTTGATTAAATAAATTTGTTAAAAATTTAAAAAATAAACAATTTAGATTTTCAGTACAAATCGGCAATTTCATACTTTAACCCCTATTATTTAAATGGTTAGGTGGGTATATTGCGTTCCATTTTGAAAAATCATGTTATTAAAAATGGAAATGGCTATTATTATGTTGTAATCTTGCGTTACCTTTCTATTTGTTGAGGGTTATTAATTATTGAATAATTAGGTTTAATTTTATTATTAATTATATCTGCCATATATAAACATTAGATGATTATTATTATTAGCGTTGTCAGTACTTTTGTGGTGCGCCTGCTAGTTGTCATTTGAGGTTATTGAAATTTACAACTTTATAATTATAACTTTTAAAATACCGACGTCAAAAGTTTGTTTATCCAGTTACGTCATGTTCATCACCGCCGTCTCCTCAACAATAACTGAAACGCATATGGAAATCCTCGTCGAAACGAATCATATGAGCCCAAACGAAAGGTAGCTGTAGTACACTGTTGAGGAGTTCCTTCCATCTGGCTGCTATTTGTGCCAAACTGCCTCAGTAGCCGAACGGTTAGCATGCCGCCGGACTGCCACGCAGAGGTCCCGAGTTCGATTCCGTGCCAGGAGATGACCTACGTTTATTTCTCTCGTGAGTTTGGATGTAATTTGTGCTTGTGTATGTGTATGTCCATGGCACCCGCGGTTCCCTAGTGCAGGGCTATAATAGTGTGTGCGCGTTATTATTATTTCCATCATCAGTTCAACTCTACGTCACCGTAACATTTTATTTTCATTGGAATTATATCTATGTGGCATGTTTAATTGAAATCGGTTCACGGAAATTGGGTGACATCCATTAAAATAAATTCATCCCCTAATTTACCATCCTCAGAGGTGGAATGTTTTCTTCAAATTTGAATACTGATATACCGTCATTCCAACAAAAAAAGGATCATCGGAATCGGCTTACAAACTTCGGAGTAATGGCCTAACATATACACACAGAAAAAAATACAGTCGAATTATGAACCACCTCACTTTTTGAAATCGGTTAAAAAGGGGTTCCTGGGTAAAACCCCAATGAAAATGAAGGTCCCACTACACAAAAGCGCATGCGCGACGCTGCCGGTGACGGTTCGTCAGGTTTTGTTGCCAAGAACCTAATACAAGTATACCTGTAGTGAATAAATCCAAAGAGTTTTTCGACTATTTGCCGTATAAGAGATATGAATGAGGACCACGTCGTTCTCCCTGGAGGTAAGGAGAATTTCTAACATTACAGACGTCATAATAACATTTGTATTAGGAAAATCGATAATAACACAAGCATAACCTATAACATAACTCTTTTTGCATTAATGCAAGGGAAATTTGTAAGTCACTTTATTTCAACTTAATTGCCTTTGTTATTACAATTCAAGCATCCATTTTTAATAAAATTATAGAGGTTTTTATTTTCCTTTCTATAGAGTTGTAAATAGTAAGCCCTTATTATAATGTACCATCAGTAATATCATTATTACAGTCTACTTCTGATTTGTACCGTAGTTACTAGAATTGCTATCTATATAAATTTAAAACGTAAATGAAAACAATAATAACGGTTCATTCAACATTTACGCGTTCAATAGCAGAATTATACGCGGTTATTGGGCTAGTGACTGACATAAAGTACCACGTACATACGTATTGTCACTTGTTTCTAGAATCACAATATGCGGATGATTACGACTTGAAAAAATCGCGAAAGAATATTCGACCACAGTTGGTGTTCTAAAAATTTACAGATATTAAAGTTATTTGTTTTCAGTACTTATATACGCTAATATTAAAAGGTTGACTATGCTTAAGAAAATATTTGAATGGAAACTGGAACATTCTATTTGGGATTTATAATGATTAATAAAGTTGCGTAATTGCGTGCAAACTTGCGCATCATTAGAATGTGCTATTGAATGTTTTGTCATTTTAGTGAAATTTTGTTTATAGTAAAAAGTGTTACCAGGTCGTTACTCTGCTCTTCCTCACATTGATCCCCTGGCCTGGGCCGTCAGTATTCAAGATTACCTGCTCTCGTGACAACTCCAAAATTGTCAGAAAAGTCATACAAAACAAATGGCTTCCCGTATTAGAAAGATTTCAGGTATATAATTTTTTCATTCTGTGTTTTACGTGAAACTCTTCAGGACATTAATTTAAAAAAAAGCCATGATAGGCTAAGGGTTTGACCTACTATCTATCAAGCAGAGCCCATGGGTTTGAATCTAGGTTTGAAAAACGTGTGAAGTCCCTAACCCGCATTGGGCCAGCGTGGCAGACTAAGGGTCGTATTCCAGAACTCTACTCAATGCTCAAGTTAGGACTTGAGTATGATTTAAAGCACTGAAAATCATACTCAAGTCCTTGCCATTAGGGTCGTATTTCCAGTGCTTGAAATCATACTCAAGTCTGCTCAAATCCTGACTTGAGCATTGAGTAGAGTTCTGGAATACGGTACTTAGACCTCACCTGAGAGGAGATCCGTGCCCAGCAGTGGGACGTATAAATGGGTCGATGATGGTGATGAATTAAAACAAGAATATAAAAGTGATATTCGACCTTCCACTACTTTCTGTCTTTGCCAGAGTGATTGACCCTACTCTAGTTCAGCAAGGGTAAGAATTATCAGTATATACATTATAATATACGTAATACATTATAGGTGAAATTGCCGCTAGAGTGTCCATTCCATCCGGCGCGCGATATCTTTGCCCCGCAACACGCTGCCAAATTACGTCACCGTGCCTCACAGTGGACGTGCGCCTTTTGCGGAAAATCGTTTTACGAAGAGCGCCACCTCGACACGCACTTCGATCAGCGACACAAGAACCAGATTAACAAGGTCTCCCATATCTATCAAATTACAACAAAAATATATAATAAATCTACAGTACATTTTAAGCTTGAAAGACATGAACATCTTTGAATATTTAGATATGAGAAGAATAAACACTAGGAGGCCGCTGCTACGGGTTTTAAATGATTTATTCAGTTGATTTTTTAAAAGACACATAAGCAAGATCCCGACTATCCTTAATAATTTTAACCTAATGAATGATTTACAAATACTCTTTGCAGGCAGAGGACGCAGTATGCCTTGCCGACTACTGCGACATAATGCGGTGTCAGGTGCTCATAGCACACGGGTCAATGAGCGCTGGTGGTGGCCCAGGTACTGATATCGAAGTATGGCAAGATATAGAGGCGGCAAAGAAAGCTCTCGCACCCGCTGCCGTCCGCAGTGTAGCCCGCGTACCCAATCGCAAGAGGCACCGGCCGCGGCCAACTCCAGTTACACCTGTTACTGACTGTCCGAAAAAAGACACTGAGAGTGAAGAGCCAGGTAAGCTTGCATGTGATGTCCACGGGCGGATATAGTATGCTCGCGGTTTACGGGGATTTTTCCTACTCATAAGATTGGTTCGCTTTTTGTGTGTTATAACACTACAGCTCCATCGATACTATCGATGATTCCGCCAATATGAAAATTAAGGAAGACACGCATTGCTTTGGAAATGATTGGTGATCTTAATTATCGCTGTAAAGGTTGAATATGTAGCACCGTTATATGTACCAGCACGACGATGTACAAAATCGCATAATTATATTTAAGCCCTTGTTAATAAATTATTTCTAAGACACACACACGGCGACTCATAGCAGCGATGCAAACACGCTTTCGTGAAACGCGCTATTGCATCGATGCAATCGCTTATGTTGAATAACTATGTATACGAAAAATCTGTATAGGTGTAAGCACAACATTTTGTTTTGCTAATTGTAAATTTAAAAGTGAAATTAATACATATGTTAAATAAATAAATTAGTTAATTAAAAACGTGCATTGCGTTTACATCGCTGCTTAAAGCCGTTGTGTGTAACCGCTTTCAGGTTATTCGCAATAGGACTAACTAATTAAACAAAATTTCAGATAATTTACAGAAATCTCTATAATGAAGGATCCGACAACTAGAAAGGATTTTTGTTCCGAACTAGTTCTAGGATAGTCTACGAATTTTCTTTTCTTCAATACTCCTTATTTTTCTTCGTTTTATTTCTTCATTTTACGCGTCATATTTTCTGAGTACACTAAACAATGAAAATAAAGCTTGTATAGCGGCCATATTAAAATGGCTGCAATTATTTTTTTATCCAAAGATTAAGATTCCTTTATACCTTTCTCTTTCTCTAATAGTTGAGGTAGAAAAGTTTTAAATTTTCATCGTTGCCGTCTGTAGTAGACGTCGATGTAAGGTAATAAAATAATAAGCTCTTTTTTCAGTTAGTGAAGGGTTTATCTTAATCAAAAAATGAATATTTACTTCACTTCCACTGGTCCGATCGACTTGAAATTTGATAGGTATACTATGAAAATCCGATGACATTACAAGAATATGGTAACCTTGATCTTGTGTTTGGGGTTACTAAATTGATTTCGGCGAGTTGTTAGATTACGGATGATGACGTTATTGACTTTTTGGAGTAGACTGTTTTGTATTGTACGTTTTATAAATTTCAAGGTTTATTCAATTATTGTGACAGAAGTAGAGGAAAATCGAACAGAAGACAGCGAGAGCGATGCAAATCAAACGGCAGAGTTGTGCGACGCGGATACTGTGGAGTCATCTCTACCACCCGATAGCCGACAGAAGAGACTCGCCGATTTGCAGGCCGAGAGGGCGGCCTGCGACCCCACGCGACTGCAAGGACTTAAGGTAACCTTTTGAAAGTATAGACACTAATTGTTATTTTCTAAAATTATACTTGTACATATTTCATAAAAATACCTGTTAATTCTCGTAGTCCAAATATAATATAACTAATATATTTAAAAAAAACGTGACAATTGGCGCAACACAACAACGCACTGACATGTGAACGAGACAATGAACTCGTCATACTGAACATGGTTGAAGATCAGTTCCTAAGAAATTGTAATCAAAACAAACATTCGTATGTACCAAATGCACGTAATTAGCCAGATGCATTATTCTTAAAAACATGAGCGGATGTTTGAAAGTCAAACAATTTTCAGTATTGAATTTTAAAAAATAAGTAATTTACCCAGACAGAGCCATTGGTATGCACGGGCGCAGGACATTTGAGCTTGAGACGTAACCATAAATAAGCAATAAAATTTTAGTTTAGGTACCTGAAAAGGCGGACACATGCGCCGGAGTTCTTTTTTCGGAGGTAGACACTTACGCCAAAGAAAACTCATAAGTTTAATTAAGTATGTAGTTCTGTGTAAGAACGTAGGATACGCATAAGTCAGTAAGTCAAATGGTGCGTTCCTACGACCCGTGATGTCGGCTTTTAGTGGTTTTTTCTACGGCAATCGTTAGTATATCGTAGGTGTACTCACACTCGTCGTAAGTATACCCGGATACACATTTTTTTTTAAAAAAGCAAAATGGGGTGGTCAACTTCACATGTGAAGTTAACCACCCCGCTATGTTTTTTCAAACGGACCCGGAAACGGCTTGCGCAGGTCGATAGCAAATCGTTAGTATACCCACATTCGACGGTGATGGCCCAAGAAAACAATGTTTTTTTTTTTAAAAAACAATTTCTTAGGTGAGTCGTTCAAAAACGCACGTGACTTCGTTGATGTCTTTCACATGAAGCAAAAATCTGACTTCGTTGATGTCTTTCACATGAAGCAAAAATCTGACTTCGTTGATGTCTTTTTCTTACGAAACAAAATTCAGACGATTAAGTATAGAATACACATGAAAGAAATGCTTTAGTACCCAGCAACTACACTGGACTGTAAAGTTGTCAAAATTGAGATAGTACCGATTGCCAGTTCACAGTCGATATGTAAAGTCAAGAATTATGCGCCAAATGACATGGTCGTCCACATAACGTAAAAAATATGCAATTTGGTTTGTGATTAAGTAATGTACTATATATACTAAAAACAAAATTGATATGGCTACCACGATTTCTCGCAATTCCGTGGAAAACAAATGATATTAGACACAAGCTGAAACTATCACAAACTAGTGTATTGTTCGAGAACTATCGGCAAGACAACGAACATAACTAGTTTAATACGTAACAAAATTCCACATTAAACAAATGAGTCCCTTTCTAAAAAAATCGATTCGATAATATCCATGTACATAGTTATACAAATTTTGATGCAAGCTTATGTCCAGTTATGAATATAAAAACATTAAAACGTAGAAAAATACAGAAAACACAATACAAGATTTAGAAAAAGTAGGAAAATAAAATGTTTAACAAGCTTAGGCGAGAAATGTCGCCTCTTGAATGCGATTTTATTTCTGTCGTATGCCACTAACTTTTTAGCGTTTTTGAACGTTGGATGCGAGGACCTTTCTTGTGAAGTGCCGGCACGTGTCCACTGGGTGAAGAACAATAAAACAAGATACTCTGCGCAAGTGTCCTATGGGATTAATGAATTTATACTTACTCCGGCGCAGTGTCCTGCGGTCCTGCGCCCGGTTTGCACCACTTATTATTTCTAATTCGCTGCAGTTTTAATAAATTGAGTTCATTATGACTTGCCCTAACGTCAAGGTGTACACATCACGATGAAACCGGCAAGTTGGAGCAGGTTAACGTAACTCTTTGAAGCCACCAACCCTCGTTGGGTTCAGGAGTGAATTAAGACCACAAAATGACCTACAAAATGCCAAGTTGATAATGATTAGTGTTGGGCAAGATACGGCCCGCAAGCCAACTCCGGTTCGCGAAGTGCTTTAATTCGATTCGCCGACGTCTCTTGAAGAATGTATGGCCCTCGGAAATATAATTTGACAGTCTATTGACACATAAAATGACGTGTTACGTCACACATTATTAATTAAAAATATGTATTAAAAAAAATTTTTTTTTTGTTCTCTCCCGTGAAATTTCTTACGTTTTTCTGGGCCTAATGAAAAAGTTTGCCCACCCCTGATCTAGACAGTGTTTCAATAACAATTTATTTTTAAGGTCCGGTGTGAAAAAGTGGTTCATTCTTGTATTGCTACTCTTCTTCTGCATCTGACGCAACATCAGTTTACGGAGTTGGAAGGTACGCTAATTAAGTCTGTATTATGAAATTACGTTAAGTTTATAGTAGTGTTTATAAATATATACTAATAATGATATGAATATAATTGAATAAAATAATATTAGGAAGTGAAACTGTTTTGGATTTACCTATATCGCGTATATTTGTTTATTCCAAAGCTTCGGGCCCTTTACAGGTCCATGGTCACAATGGTCACAACTGACACACACTGACACTACTGACAGTCAGCCGTGATCATGGCACCTGTAAAGTGCCCGAAACATCGATTTGTGTGAAAAAAAGTATAAGCGATTTAGATCCGAAAAAAAATGTTTCATTTGTAATGTAAAAATCGCGAAAACCTAAGAACTAAAGAACCATTATATCTGAAAATAGGTATTTGTGGCTCCGTTTTATATTTTCGGCACATTTGTGAGAAGCTCGTTGAAATAACATCTCATTACAGCTCTCAAATGTTTTGTGACCATAATGTGTCTGTATTATTTCAGAGGAGATGCAGCGCGCAGTCTGTTGGTACCTGAGCTGTGACCGTTACTGGGAAGACACGGGCCCTGCGGCCCGAGCCTTTCCGTGGCCGCTCGTATTGGCTCTCGCCACTGGGCTCGCATTGGCATTGTGCATGTGCTATTATATCATTTGGATAGTCTTTGAGTAAGTATTGAAACATGTTTGGAGTACGGCATTTCTTTTTTAATTAAAAGCAACTGGCTTCTCCTATATCACTGAACACGGAAGAAATACTTGTAACAGCGTTGTTAAGTAATTTGGTCGAGCACTCAAATAACTGTTAACAGATTCGCTTTACGGGTTGATTTTCTATAAGCAATTTGAGTCTATCAGCACAATAGTGGTGTAACCCCATGAAATGCACATAGAATCATAGAAAATAATGACGGATTTAAAATTAATCAAATTCATTTTATGTATAGTAATCATACATGACCAATATATAATTATTATATACTTTACTATCATTTAAAGTAATATTGTACATAAAAAATTAAATGTGGGTTATACCACTTTTGCGCTGATAGCCTCATTTGTTCTTGTTGCCAGACTGGAGCAAACAGTTTCTCAGGCACGCTCTGAAAATGTACCGTACTATACATATAATATCATTTTGTCCTACTGTAATTGTTCTTTTCGGGAAATACAGATGCAATGCAGAAAATAGAGCATTCCATTCCTTTGCCGTACGTATCAGAAAGGAGGAAGCAAAGCGCTTAGTGCGAATAGGTGGACGACATAAGAATGGAGTGCTCTGGACTTTCTAGTCGACCGAAGGAGGAACGGTGAGGATGGAACTAAATTGAAGTTCCTGCGCACACTCCCCGTAATATACCCGATAGAAAACCGACAAGCAGGCTATTTTTCTGCTATGGTCGAGATTTTGTAGCTTTGACTCCACAAGAGAATTGTTGTTAATAAGCTTATATTGCTTTTCGCTCCACCGAGTCCATGTGTATTGCGACAAGACCGCTCGTTGGATAAAATTATTTAAAATTTGCGACAACCATGAACCTTGTTGCCTTTTCTAAATTAAAGTATATATCACTAATATCAAATCTTTTGTGGTCCAAGTCCACATGGTAGATACATAGGTTTCATTCGTAGATCGTCGGTCCGCTATGGCCGGATGGTGTCGGTTAAATCGATACCTCCAATGAACACTACACCAACTTTATTTTTTGGTAATTTTCGTAAGTTTTGGTAAGTTTTTGTAAACAGCTATTATATTTGCTAAAATTCGAAAAAACAAAATTCGAAAAAAGAAACCGAAAAAAGAATTTTGTGAAAAAAAACAAAATTAAAACAGAACAGGCCCAAAAATTAAGTTGGGTGTAGAGTTCATTGGAGGTATCGAAATGTCGAGTTCGTTATCCCAAATGTTTTTTGAATTTGAGCTTGTACAATCTAATCATTTTACTTCAGTTCCGAGGAAGGAAGCGTGGCAGGTAGTGCATCGGTTTCCATGACAACGCATTCCTCCCCGACGCGTGCCGAGCGTCTGGCTGCCGAAGAGGCTCTCCTGGAGGACCCTGACCACGATGACCATTACATCTACGTCACCTATCCTCCGGAACTCAAGCGGCGACTTCTTGAAAGGTACGCTAACAACATGACCTTCGTATTTATTTTCCTAAAGTTCCTTTCACAAGAAAGACTCGGGTAGATTCATTTTCTTGAAGTATTTGTTTTCTTTAGTATAATTTGACTTCTATTCTTTGGCCAGAGGAGTATCCATTCCAATCCAAGTGATAGTGTTTCCAAAACATATTCTAATTTGTAAAATATTTAGTAGAAATAATAGTCGACAGTGTGAATTTTGTATGTTTCGTATTATTTTCGTAGTCTTGTGTTGGTTTTTAATAAAAGTTGTTTGTTTTAGCTGCTACAATAGAACGACTCGCCTCTGAGAGCCAAACGGTCGCAATTTGTTGTGCATGTATACTTTGTACCAGTGCGAGTAGATATTACCTATTTAGTTGTTAATTTGCAGTGACAAAGTACATTGTTTCGTACGTTGATGTAATTTACAAAAAAAAGGACATTACTAATTTTTAATTCAATTTTAACAAGTGAAAGTTAATAGTTTTCAAGATCGGTCAAATATTGACAACTTAATGAATACTTTTATAAAACGTTGGTTGTAACTTCTTGTAAAATGCCAATAATTTCATTCTGATATTGATCAATGTGCGAAACAGAGAATATTGAAATAGATCTGTAATTACTATTCATCTTCATTCGAATAAAACAAAGTACCAAATAGATATACCTATTTACAAGTAATAATTTCTTATATTTAAAAATGTACAAACTTATTTGAATCTGATTAATTTCTAGTACCTTAGAAGTAGGTGTTCCCTTTATAGTAATGTACGTACCTAGTATGCTTAAAACGATTGTGCCTAATTTCCCTTTAGAATCGTATCTGTAAGAGAAATTTCATACATTTTCTCTATTTTCAATTTGCATAATAAATGTGACATCTTCTAATAGATATCATGACGTTATTAGGTTTCGGAAGTCTTGGGAGCGGACAACGAAGCTATTCAACTTTAAATGAACTTAGATTATTGAATACCTGTGTCTGTAATGTGAATACAGTCTAGACATTAGACGCTACAAGCTGAAGAGACACATATCGACAGACGGTTCGTATAGATAACATTCGCATCCTTTCGGAGCGTGGGATTTGTATGGGCATACCTTAACTCACCGCGGGAGTGTGTTTTGACCCTTACACTTTTTAAGAAGGGTAATAGCTGAGATAATAAGTCAAGGGATCTACACATTTCTAAGTTTTGAAACTTTTAATATACTTTTATTATATACTTAATTGTGTACGGACAGCAGTTTTTGTCGGACCCTTAGGAATTTCCGTTGACATTGTATGAATAGAACTTGACGTCCAATGTGCTCAATTTAAGAAGTCGTTAACTACGGTGGATGATACCAAGAAGTAGTCCAAGACTTCCGAGCTCTCTCGATTAGTCAAAACAATTTGCTAAATGTTTTGTAAACGTAGTATTCAGAATTTTCATTTAACAATTAAAGGTTTGTGTCTAATAATCGGTACCTACGAAAATGATTGAATTCTGGGGCTGATTCTGTTACACTATATCTTTATGAGTTTAAATTATATTTTTAGTCTTCGTAGATCGAGCACACACCTACTTAAATCTATTATTATTGTATAGTAAAACTCTGTAACGCAAATTTTTGCTTAATTATAGAAAACCAGCAGTTTCCTAATATGCCATAGCACATACGACTTGATATGTTAGTGATATGTTGTCGTCAAAATAGAACTGGACAGGAAAATACTCTGGCATTTGGAAAGAAGATGTACTTCTTGGAATTGCATTAATTCGAATATTTATATATACTTGATATGAGGACCATTGGCAAAATTTCGGTCGGTATTGCGAACAAATTTTTCGTTTGTGGAAAAACCTTTGTGTATTATAATGCATAATTACATAGGTGCAAAAGTGGGTTATTGTGAATAAGCTACAGGGTGTAATAATTTGCAATAACATTGACGCAGTGCCGCCTTTACAGCAAGGAGGCACCGAGCGCCACTCGATGCCGATGCCTCCAAAGAGTCTGTGTTCCTCGCGACATCATTTATAATTGGACCATTGGCACAAGAATTACCTTACATTACTTTAAAGCCGGAGATGTGTCGTTTCGTGCGCGTCAGAACGGTATCGGTCGGTAATGTATGAAACATTTAATTTGTTTAGGTTTATATTAGCAAACTGACGTGACGGCTTGTATTATGTGTATGAAACCGATACCGTTCACGTCAAACAAATGTCAATCAGGCTTTAGTATTATTTTAATGGCGTGCCTACTAGAGCCCTCCATGGTATTCGTTGTACCCGGGCGCTACATGAGCTAGCACCGGCTTGCATTGCCGCCCTTGTGACTCAAGACGTTTTTGAAAACGTTTGGGATAAAACAGCATATTTTTTGTTTATAACAATATGGACTTTTCATAAAAATCCTTATATACTTTGTCTCTACATTTTGGTAACCGGAGAATTTTCTTTTTCATTTCGCGCTTCGTTCAAACCGTCTAGAGGAGATCATTCTATGATATTAGCCAAATCACTTCAATTATATACAATATGTTATGAAGTAAAACTAAAAAGTAACAATATTTCATAACAATTTCAAGAAGAAGGCGTGATTCTTAATTATATATAAGCATGTTTCTACATGCTTTTGTTGAAGTTGAAGGCATTCAGAATTACAATTTTTTTCGAACACTATACATGTGCTTCACATCCACAATTCATTACTTATTGAAGTATTACGTTTCGTATTATTAAGTCATATTGGAAAAATACTTACGCATATTCTTGAAGTTAAGTGTAACTGAGTCGGCTTGATTATCGGTTAGTGATTTTCATGAAAGCCTTGCATCCGGAAGCTCGTGATAAGTAAATGGTGAATATCTGAGAGATGTAGATGATGTTTTAACGAAATGTAAGTTAGAGATACGTGCTTTTGTATTGCGTCTGGCACTGAGGACGAATAGGGCAGACTTTTGTGTTAAATACACTTTGTAAATAAATTGTGACTTTTCACTAAATGTTTGAAATTAAAAATTGCTTGAACGTTTTTCATATTTTTTAAGTTTCTTAATAAAATAAAGAAAAATATGATTTTGTTATGTGATTGACTCTAAAAGAGGGAACACACCACATTATATTTGATTATTATACATTTATGAAAGTTCTTACAATTGAGGCTATCGTCACAAAAGTGGTGTAACTCCATGAAATACATGAAGGATTTAAAATAAGCCAAATTAATTTTATATACAGGGTTATTTTTAAAATACAAAGAACGATGAAGGACTATATTACTAACATCATAAACAGCAACTTTTGTTCCGTGTCTTTTGATAAAACCTGTAAATACTTTTAAGTATTTTTTGTCTTATCTGCCACTTTTTGGACCTGTACTTGGTAGTAAGGTAGTAAGTTCAAACGTGCATGCGTCTTTTCTGACGATTCCCGCGTTTTGTACAGAGTTATCACCATTTAGAGCGAATTATTTAAATATTTTTATATTTATTTTTATTTTTATTTTATTTTTTATATTTATATTTTATGAAAGTAAAATTTGACGAATGATTAAAAGTCATGGAACAAAACTTGATGTTAGTAATACATTTCTGCGAGGTCGTTAGTATTTTACAAATAACCTTGTATAGTTATCATATACGAGTATAACCCGTACCCGTAATAATATATATTTTTACATACATGAAATAGCATCCAAATATAAAATAATTATGTACTTTAAAGTAATATTATAATATATATCATATAGAGTACTAGTATGATTTAAAGTAATATTATCTAACAAAATAAATGTGGGTTACACCACTTTTGCGCTGATAGCCCCTCCAATACCGAAAACAGTAAAAATATATGTAAGTTCTCATTTGATCCCAATGAAGCCTAAAATAAAATGTTACTTTTGATAATCTGTAAAATACATAGATTTGTATTGCAATACATTTAAAATATGATCCGCTTCTACATCAATGTAAATGCTTCAATGAGACTGAAGTAATATATTAAATAAGTAATAAATAAATTGTGTACTTTTCACGAACTATGTAATACTCATGCGCACTATTTATTTTAAGTTAATTTTTAAACAAATTGTAATTTAAAGTGACTGTTAAATAAAATTCAGAAATCAAGCGTGTTCTTATTTTTTATTCATTAAATGTATACTCGTATAAATAATAATAATCAGTCTTTACATATTTCTTAGATTTTACATTGAACAAATGCTTACTAACTAAAAAAGTATAAAATTCGTAAACGTACATATTTCATAACTATAATAATTATACGATACAATGCGAATCGAGTTTAATTGATTATTATAATTACCCAATAATACAGAAGACTGTTGTGTGGGTATTGTGTCTACAGATAACCAATTGCTTTCGATTTTGAATAAAGAGCGTAGTTAACTACGAGTTAGAGTTGTTAAGGCGCTTTCGCTTTCTTTGTAGAAGCGCTGCAGTGGCGTGACTGTAGCGCTTCAGTCATTTTTAATTCAATAATTCTATCGTGTCAAACCAAAACACTGCAAGTCCCAGAACAGTGTTTTATTATTTCATTACAACAAGAATTTTACGGCTATTGTTAAGGGAAAAGATTTTTTTGGTTTTTTAATAGAAATAGCTTATATTGCAATGTAAAATTGTAATGGGTGGATATAATTCTTGATATGATAAATATTGCGTAAAACATAATGTGCAAAGCAAGTTAATGTATCTTTTATGTTGTTAACCTCCAAAGTTTAAAAATAAACAAAAAAATAATTATGCAGCTTTTTCAAAATGTTGTTTTTGATGTTACAGTGTATTGGTTAGACAGGGTAGATTGTGACTGCAAATTGACTGCTGCAATGTGGCGTTTCTAAACATTTAAAAATTAGTAGTGGCGCCATTGCAGCGTCACAGTGGCGCCACTGCAACGCTTCTATAAGCGTCTAATTTGAAGGCGCCCTTAAACTCGTGCAGGCGTTACGTTGAAATGTCATTTAAGCCATGAGTCTGGTGGTCTGCGATACGCCTACTCATAACAGTTGCATAACCGGATACACAGGGTTACAGATATTTGTACATTTCTTTATCGATAACAGTCATAATGTTTACTAGTACTTACAAACAAGTTCATGATTACCGGTTTATTACTATTCAACATCTACAGAGCATGCTACGGCTATGGGATATGGAAGAAAAGTACTTTAAATTTAGTAGATAGGTTGTTTTGCTTGGAAGGAAGCGTTATTATGTTTATTTACTTTTTTGTTATAATACCGAGTGAAGGAAAGAACTAGTCGTGCACTTGGTGGGACGCGACTCGCCTATCTACAGCTGTTGTGTTAGTGGTTGAGTGCTACTCAAAGCTTTAAATCACAACGATATCAGGGGCACTACCACTGCGCCCGTCTGAGACATAAGTTCACAACTCCCAGTCAGTTAACAGTCGCGTGGCTATAATTTTACCAGCATGCTTCTTACCCTTCAAAACCGAAATGCAGTAATGCTCACATCACTGCTTCAAGGCAGAAATAGGTAACGAGTGGACGAACTCTTCCACAAGGAGTTCTGCTGCTACTAAAGTGATTATCGATTGGGTCATAAGCATGATTTTATCACCCACGTACCAATAGTATGTGGTAATGGGCACAAAAAAGCCAAAAACAAATAAAAGATAAGGTCACGCGCAACACACACCTGTTTTATACGGAATGCAATGTTCTTTACTAGATGCGCCATGGGTTATCAACTTATCATAGATTTTTTTAAAATAAAAGTTAAATAGTTTTTATTGTGAAAAAGTGTATGATACGATAAGGTGCTAAAGTAATCAATAGTGAAAAAAAAACCAATATTACGAGGAAGATTGTACTCGTTATATTTCGCAATTTTGAATATCCTGTAGGTATTTGCTGAGTAGGTATTTAATTATAAGAAAATTTGTAATAGTATAATAACATATCAAGTAGATGATTAAAATACATACTTTAAAATGGGACTGAACATTTTTATACGATACCAAGTAACGGGACGAACAAGTCATGGCTCAGGTGGTAAGCGGTATCGCTTTGTTATTCTTTTTTTTTTTTCATAAAAGTTGCCACCGCTTTAAATTGCAAAGATCTGTGAGGCACTGCCAATGCGTCCGTCACCCTGAAGTTGACAAGTCCCTTATGCCTGTACTTTCAATAGCACCCTTACCCTTCAAAACCGAAATGCAGTAATGTTCACATTACAGTTTAGCGGCAGACATGACTACGGTGGCAGTTCCCTGGATTTCACAAGGAGCTCTACTGCTACTAAATATATTTGTTAAGTTCATAAATGATTGAATAAATGATTCCATCGACTCACGAGTCACCAGCTCTGCCTTTAAAGCATTGCATTTTGGTAACTTTCGAGATATTGCAACCTAAAGTGTTTTTTTTCTTTGTACAATGTCTAAGTATAGTCTGTCTTTTTTGAAGGTGGAATAAAATGACAGTTAATTGCGCAAAAGTGTTGCCCACTTCCAAGTAGCTAGTGATTGCAGTCGATAATTTTCTTTGTCTATCGACTGAATGTTGGTCACGCTAATGCAATAAATAGCCGAACTCTTTTTTTTAATCATCGTCAGTTATTCGTTCAACCGCTGGGAAAAGGTTCATTCGAATTGTCAATTTTTGTAAATTCACACATCTATACATATACGCTGCATTTAGGACTAAGTCTAATTGTCTAAAATAGAAAAAGGAAACATATTTCAAAGTGTTTTCATTTGAATTCAATATCAATCAAATCCGCCTGTTCTTGTTAAAATGCATATGAATAAAAATTGATTTCGATATTAGTATACAAGTGTCAAAATAAGAATGAAGAAGGCAATAACACAATTAGTAGGTAATCATTAGAACATCTGACTTCACAATTCAAACATTGGCAAAATTTAGCTTCTTTCACAATCTCTCGATAAAACTGTCGACAACAAGTACATGACTTAAAAATTTTATAACAACTGGCAACCCTGCAAATGTCATTTTAGTCCCTCTTAAAAAAAGACAGTCTATAGGTACATTTTTAATTTATCGGTTCTTATTTGCTACGATCCTTGCTTACAAAACGTTCTTTAATAGGTCTATTTTACGTAACCAAGGGGTTTTCGAGATAAAAATAAAGTGGTTCACGTCGAGAATACGTAAAAATATAATATAAAACAACTAAATATACGCAAGAAATAGTATACCAAACCAAATGAGCGCTTTATATCGGAGTAAGTCCTGTATAAACGTTCTATTTTTCAGGTACTTGTAATGTTACCTCGTATGCTATGCGTATTTGACGCCCTTCCATGCCGGACTGCCTTCCAGCAGGCACTTGCAGCCACAGCCGGTTGGACATGTATCGTGTTCTGAAAACCTGGTGAATAAGTAAGAAAAATTACCATATTTAACGTATCTAAAAATATGAGGTGAAAATTAAAAATAACAATAATATTATTTAAGTTAGCAGTGCTGACAATGCTCATAACACGAAATGTTAGTTTTGAAAAATAGTTGTCATCTAAAAAAATGAAAAAATATATAAACCTTAGAACTAGAATACCATGAGTCAGTATTGAGTTCCATAAAAGGCAGAATGATAGTTCGCTTCGCTATTTTTGGTAATTATTTCGTGGAAGGGAAGTGGAACAGTTTAAGTTAAGTGGAGCAATTTTTTTATGAGAACAGTTACACGTTTGCAACAAAAATACATATTTAAAATTAAGTTGTTAATAATTAAAAAAAACTATTAACCAAACTTACAGTCCCCTAAATGTGCTTCAAACAAAACAAAAAGTAAAAAAATGTATTGTGCTGCTCAAAGTAACTTGTTTAAGTAATTAATAGATTCAGGCGTTAATTTGCAGAAGTCCATTTAACAAAAATGGAGGTAATTTAATTTGCCATTTCGCGAACCCAGTGCAGGTTAGCTGAGCTGTGTCAGGTACATTTTTGCAGGTGTTATTTGTTGCTATAGTTGCGCTTGAGTTATTATATACTTTATTAATTGTATGCGCAAGGAGAGTGGTAAAATTAATGTATGAAAAAGAAATTCAACACAAACGCAGCTATTTTGCACTATTCAACCTTCACTGGGTTCGCGGAGTAGCAAATTAAATTACTGTTATTTTTAGCAACTTATTTACTTATTTATTGGTTCAGTAATAGCTTACACACTTAACAACAACACAAGACTAGTATATAAGTCAATTAATGCCGAAAAAATAATTGTCATAATCACTTAACCCGTCACGCACCCTATTGACGTACCATATGTCCGTAATGATTTTAGTAAAAAAAATATAAATTAAGATTTTTTAATGGTGGCTAATACACAGTTGTGCGTTCAGGTGGCGACTGACCGAAAATCTTATCGTAACGTAACATTGGCGGCGAGTACGTTACGGCATTAGCCGATTGACCTGTATCATTGCTCGTTTAGAATACAGCGTTCGGCCGTGCTCAGCATTCGCAGTTGAAATGTCGGATGACGAAGTCTGATTTTAGGTTCTGTGATTTTACTCAATCATGGTTTACTCCAAATGAAGAAAAAAGTGATTTGATTTTAAACTTGTATAAAAGCAGAAATATAGTTCATTGCGCAAAAGTAAATAAAAAAGTAAAAAAAAAAGTAAAGTAAGTGATTGCAATCGATAAATATTCTATCGACTGAGTGTTGATCACGCTTATGCAATAAATAACCGAACTTGTTATATTGAATCATCAATTGTCCATTATTCGTCCAACTACTTTTAAAATGTCAATTTTTGTAAATTCGTACTTACCTACTGACACTGCATTTAGACCTATGTCTATTAAAAATACAAATAGGAGACGTATTTTAAAGTTTTTTTTTAAATCAATATAGACAATCGAATCCGCCTGTTCTTATTTTAAATGTATATGAATAAAAATTGATTTCGATACTATTAGCCAACTGTCAAAATAAGAATAAAGAAGGCAATAACGCAATTAGTAATCATTAGAAAGTCGTAACATTGACAATTCAGACATTTTTAGCAAAATTTTACCTTCTTTTACAATCATGAATCTCAACCAGAACCCAATAATAAATAAATAATAATAAATAAATAAATAACGCACACACTCAACATAGCCCCGCACTAGGGAAACCCTGTGTCGCGGGTGCCATGGACACACATATAGACAACCACAAATTACACCCAAACTCACGAGAGAAATAAATGTAGGCCATACAAACATTTCTCCCGGCCCGGGAATCGAACCTGGGACCTCTGCGTGGCAGTCCGGCATGGTAACCGTTCGGCCACGGAGGCAGTTTAATAAGAGCAATAAAAAAGCTATAACGGATCCACTGCAACAACCGTCGTCCACACCCCCGGTTACAAGCCAATCCAGTGATCCCAGTGCAATTTACACACACCCGTCGCTAACAGAAATACCCAAACTGTATTCGGAACAAGATAAAGGTCCGTTTATTATCAATGTTTCACGACAGGAGACAACTCCCTCGTCTGGTACTACTATTCGCCCCATAATCTTTGGTCAATTTTTAATGAAAAATAAAATTAGTAATGTTGTTGAAGGCGGAATCAAAAAGGTTGGTCGGAACAGAATAGCTGTGGAATTTAAGACTAGTAAGGACGCCAATGAGTTTATCAACAATTATTTCCTACCTTTATATAAATATGAAGCTGTGATTCCGAACTACAACGTCACACGTTTAGGGCTCATCAGAGGTATACCTACTGAGTTGACAATGGAGGAGCTAGTAGAGGCTATGGTTACACCTGACTATTGTGGCGTTGTGTTAATAGCTAGAAGATTAAACCGCAAGCAGATTGATACCATTATCAATAACACACATAACTCCATAGTTACTACATGGACCTCCACTCAAACGGTCGTACTGACATTCCACGGTCAAAGTCTACCCTCAAGAATTTTCGTCTATTACACGTCTATAGTAGTAGATGCTTACCAGTTGCCCACTATACAATGTAACAACTGCTGCCGTTTCGGGCACATTAAGATCCAATGCCAATCCAAGCCTAGGTGTTACAGATGCGCCCAATCTCACCCCGGGGAGCAACACATTAACAAAAGTTAATAAACCCTTCCCCCAAATCCATCTCCCTTCACATAATAGAGGTTTACTTAACGCCGTAGCAGTAAGGATTGAAGATATCTCTTTTGTGTCAATAACTAATTTTCTTGTTTTGCAAGATCTTCGCTCCATTATATCAGTGCTCCTATACAGCAGTAACCTATGTTAAAGTTTACCACCATAATCTTCTCACCATGGCGCATGACCATCTACTGAGATCATGTCAGGTCCATAAACCGGGCAGGTAAATACTATTACGAGATTAAAAAATGTATCCCAAACAAACCCTGGTTTTTTAAACAAAAAACGTTTAGTAAACAGGCCGTATCCATCATCTGTCGCCTAAGGCTTGGGCATGCATGTACACCTGTCCATCTTGCCAAAATCAAAATAGGGGATACCTCTCTCTGTGAGTGTGGCGTTGAGGATGGCACCACATACCATGTTCTTTTTAACTTCCCTAAGCTGAACGTTACTCTCTACGATTTACTCCCTCAAGATGTCCCTCGTGCAACCAACATAAAGTGCATCCTCGAGATGTCCCAAGCCCTCCCCTTTTAAAATTTAAAAAAAAAATTTTGGCAAATAACCAATTAAAATGGTAAAATGTTTACCTTTTTTCGTTTTTTCCTTTTCTTTATTTTATCTAATTGTTTATTTATTTTTAATTTCTTATATAACCCCTATCTAAAACTACACTGCTTGCATTAACTCATTAATGTACCTAAAAAGTTTACTAACAACCCTGTTTTATTAGGCTATGCTTTGTGTTGTCCTGTGATGTTGCAACTGTGTGCTTTGTTTTAGATAAACCCGCTTCGAGTCTCACAGACAGCAGTAACGGCCAAAATTATATTTGAAAACAAGTCCACTCCTCCCGTGTAGAGGCTACCTACGTGACATTGGCGAAATTGTGAAAGACACAAAACAAGCCACTAATAAATAAAGAAGAAGAATATAAATTGTGGCGACGATGCTCCGATTTGTACTGACCTATAATTGAGATGCAACGTAACACTCAAAAGGATTCGTCAAAAAAACCGACAACCGGGTGGAGGTTAAACTCGGTTAGCTATACTGACTATACGAATGCTCACGTCGTGTTACGCTACGCAGAAATAATAGTTTGGTAAATAAAAATGTAAGAATTTGGTTATGACAAGGTTATGGTATATGTAGTAATATGTAGGTATATGTAACCCATTTTATTACAATATAGGCATCAGTATAGGCATCATCATTAACACGGTCTTCATCACTCACTTCTGAATACATTCGAACCATTTGGGTACGACGAGATAGATAGTCTTCGTCTAGTCAGACAAGTCCAGAAATATAGCATAACATCTGTGTTCATTGTCCAGTATCTACGGTAGAAATGCCACGTCCGAAGCCGTATTGATTATTTGAGATGATATTAGTTATATTTTTCCAGATTTTTGAGACACCGTGCCGCTTTAGGACGCTACGGTATCAAAATCGTTAGGGAAACCGTGCGTCTAACGATTGTACGTGTACGTGTGACGGATTAAAGAACAAGAAAACACTTACCACTTTAGCATGTGGTGGGCGTGTCCCGCGTGGCCGCAGTAGACGCACGCGCAGGCGAGGCCGCGCACGCCGAGCGCGCAGACGGCGCAGCGCAGCGCCAGGCGGCGGCACGACGAGCACACCGGCGAGCGCGCCAGGCGCCCGCACCACGCGCACTCCGCCGCCACCTCCGGCCCTAAGTGTGTCCCGTGCGTAGCGTCGTGCTTGCAGCCTACTAGCTTCATTACCTGGGGAACATTTGACGCGTACCTATTACTTAACGCAACCATGATTTTTTTCCCCATCAGTTTATGATAGTTACGAAATGTTAAAATATTTTCAAAATGAACTAAAAATGTTTCATGATCAAAAATCAAAAAAAGAACCCATCTTGTGTAATCTGATGGGTTGGCTTTATATATTTTTTTCGTTTCGAATGTGTTGCAACGTCCATGGTCTCTGCAATTTAAAGCTCTGAGCGGCACTGCAACTGCTACGGACCGTCGTGTCGCTCACCACCAGGCACACGACCTGTTCGTCCTGTCGCTTGGTATTATAAAAAACAAAAAAATGACAAAATATATAGTATGTATCGAAAGTGTACTAACCTCAGTCTTTTTGTACAGAAGTTGCCAGTGATGCAAGATATCGGCATAAACTCGCTTGAAGCAATGGTACGCGTGTACGACTTGTTCGTCAACTATACAAGCTGCTCCTCGATCGAATTTCTCTCTAGAGACTGTAGAGTCTGTGTAGAAGTTTTCAGCTTCTGAACACGAATTACTTCGGAGTGTGGGCAATGTCCACCCGTCCGCGCTGATTTCGCTAAATTGATTTACCGTGCTATAAGGAGATGTACCATTGCCCTGTAATAATTAATGTTTCTGGCCCTTTACAGGTTCCTTTATCACAGCTGATTAAGTTGGTAAAGTTATTAACCAGTTGTGTCTAATATTATTATTTTTACTATAGTTACAAAATTTGTAAATTTAAAAAGTATTTGTAAATTTAAATAATAAATTTATAAATAAATAAATAAAGTCGTTGGAAAAGTATAAAGTTTTAGTCAAATTAATTTCAAACCATAAAAAATGTAACTTAACATCTTTCTCTGCCGTGAAATGTATAAAAAAGAAAGTGTATAATGCAAAAAGGTGAAACATTAAAATTAAAAACTTACATAACTAGATGTACTGATAGTAGACAGAGAGCTGGAGTTACTCGACTCATTGAAGACCGAAAACGCACAGGCGAGCATCGCAGCCATTTGAAGATTTGACGCTTTGGCGTAGTGTGATATTCTAAAAGAAAATAAAGCAATGGATTCACACAGAATATTCTCATTTTAGATATTTTATTGATATAATTTTGTTGATAAAAATATAAAATTGTAAGATATCTATGTATAAGCTGAAAGTCTTATGAATATATGTATTCATAAGTTTATATAATGTAAGTATATATATGTTTTAAATCAAGGAAATAACACAAAATATAAAGTTCGTGAAACAAAAGAAAATTATCCGAAAGAATATTTATTAGCTATTTGTGCCCCATTGTATAGATTATTCATTCTAGTACGTACAATGATTGCAAAAGGTTGCAACAAAGTGGATGTCCCACCCAGCCCATGCTTTCTTCACTCGAGGCGAGGTGGTCTACAACGCGTGCCTTGAGTGACTGAGCAGCGAGTCCTGCAAGTCCCCAGGCATGCGCTAACTCGCTTTCCCCTTCCTCTGCGGCTATTCGTGCGTTATTCTCACACATATCTAAAAATTGAACAAACTACACTTTGAAATCGTAATATACAATGTAATTATATGCGAAACATGCACGCACTAACATTGTTTTTGTTACATCTGTTATAAAGTTCTTAAACACTTTAACGAATTATTATTATTTAACTTTACAGACACAAATATTCCTAATCCTGTCAATTATTCCATCAGGTTAAAGCAAACTGTGATGTTGAAAAAGCTATTTTCTCAGAGTCCCTCTGTAATGCCAGTATGAAAATAATATAGAAAGTAGCGCATACTTAATTTACTTAGACTAAGTAGATGAGAACACCTTACCCAAAATGTAAACATTGCTATCAAAGTACATACAAACAGGATTTTCGGCGTTGACCACATATCTTTCTGCAAGGGTCCGGTTTAGTGGGAATAAATTTGTTGCAGCATACAGGACCACACGTGGAGCTGCAATGCCTGATATACTACCGCGGCTGCGCATACTTCCAGTACGGCGTCCTGGTGTCTTCTATAAACAAATGCGAATTCATGAACTTCTAATACTTTAAAGCTTTGACAAGAAAAGGTATGAAATCAGTAATTTGTAAACACTCACCCATCTATCTTGAAAGTAAAATGTAGTTATAGAATTTGAAGGATGTCTATGATGTAGTTGAGGAAATCCTGACGCGTTTGTAGGAGACGGAGTAGTGGTAGCAAGTGGCGACACAGAGGTATAACCCGTTCCAAAAAGCGCTGGTGTTAATGACAATGAAGACATTGATCTGGGAGTTCCGGCCTCATGTTTCAAAGACAGCCTCCTAGCATTTGTTGGTCGATTGAAGACGACTAAAGTGCTAACGCAACACCACTTAGCTCCGCATGTACGAGGAAACGGAATACACGAGTCGCCGGCGTTTTCGCTTTCAGACTGACTTCTTTGACTTGATTTCATTGAGTCAGAATCGTCACTTGATTTTACTGGTATCTAAAATAATAAATACTATGTAGAATACATTCAAATGACTAACTATATGTTATATTATAATTTAATAATTCCTCATATTAAGTAACAATAAGATTCACCTCATCAATAGAAGTAGCTAATGTCTTTAGGCAGTGTAGCAGACATCTATGACCTTCTTTCTTTTTACGATAAGCCGTTCTGTTAATGGCCTGAAGTATTTTTACTGTTGTTGGCCCATCAACATTAGTCCCAGAAAGCCAAGAAAACTTTGGTATGGTTTGTTCAGATACATTCTTTGGAAATGTGACTTGAAGATTGGCTGTGTAACCATTGCGCTCAGAATGAATCTGGCAAGTCCTTGTTTCAGTGTTCATGTCTGTTACTTCAATGTTAGCCATTTCCCGAATGGATTCAAATTCTTCATCAATTGTTGTAGATTTATTTGAAAGTTTATTCTGCAAGTTAAGAAGATTATTACACAATCACATACATAAAGTGACATTTACACCCCTATAATCCAAAAACAAAATTTATGACAATAACCATACACATATTTACCATTTGAATGTCATGACCTTTATTATCACTAGATAGATCATTCATTGAACCAACAGTTGAAGTACAGCTACCAGCTGAAAAAAACAATGTAGGCATTTTCACAACTCATTACTTCACTAGTTAATTCCATTGATTTAAATTTGATTTAGTTTTAGATTTTGAACTAAAAAAGTAAAATAAGATGGGTGCTGGAAAGGTAAAATGTCTAGTCTAATTTTATTTCTTAGATAGAAAACTAGAAATCTTCAGCTTTTCCATATAAGAAATAAAATTAGACTTATGACTTGTTTTTTAAATTACTTTAACTTTCTTGTAATTTAATTCTCCTGTAAATTTCCAAATGCACGTTAGACGTTTTACCTTTCCCATGTCGATATGTAATAACAATAGTACTCACTGTCACTATTGTTATCATCACCTTCAGTGTCATCTGGCAAGTAGTGGTTGCACATCTTCAAGAGCGTAGGATGCATTGACCACACTCTTAGTGACTGGTCTCGGCCCCATGTAATAAGTTGATAATTTGACGGAGCTGTGTTTGGTCTCCATACCATTGTCTGGACAGTATCTGTATGTCCAACTAATCTGTGTGTAAGTGTACCACCCACCCAAATACCAATGACTCCAGACTGTTCAGCTCTAGGCAAACCACCCCACCCGACACCAATTGTTAAAAGTCCACTACCAAATGGTGTGTAAATAGCTCTCCAAACAGGGAAGTTAGTCATTATAATATTCTCAGGCCTTCGTGAATTGCTAATATCAAAGTACTTGATACTTCCATCATGACTAGATGTGACAAGTTGGTACTCATGATGAGGACTCCAATCCACACCATGGATCTTGCACAAATGGGCTGATATGTAATGTATGGGAGCTGAGTTTTTCCTGTAATCCCAAATTTTTATGTCTCCATCATGTGCTGTGGCTACTAAATGAGATGCTACTTTGTTCCACTGTACTTGTGAGGCTCCAGCTAAAGAATATTAAAACTAAGATTAATAATGATAGTATTTATTAGTAATGTGTGCTAAAGTACAAGTTATTGAGTACTAAATGTTGAAAATGAATCCAAAGTTTGATTTAAATAATGTGTTTGTATTTTCTTTTAACATCTGAAAAGTATATATCACACCCTTTTCACAATTTCACCCTGATAAAGAAAAAGAGACAGACAAACAGAAACAGAAAAAGCATGGGGCACTGCCGTTGACGATTTTACAATTGATGCACAGATCTAGTATTTATGAATTTTATTTTTTATATCACATAATAAAAAATTTCATTAATAAAAGTTACCCACCTACAGCACATAATGATACTACAGGTTTTCTAGCATCTCGCAAGTCCCATAAATGTGTGAAGGTGTCTATAGAACAAGTAGCAATAAGGTTGTGGTCCTGTCTGTGGAAGTGTGTGTCGCTAACAACACGAGTGTGGCCGCGCAGCGAACTTATACACGTGAGGTCGTTGCCGCTGCGCCATTCATACACATCCACTCTCTGGTTACTCTGCAACAATTATCATTGTGCTAATATGCCGGGATTTTTTTTCAAACTAGAACATACAGATGTTAGGTACAAGAGCATGTACCTAACATCAGTAAGTATTGACCAAAAACTTACTGCTATGGCACAAAGTTTCTGCCCTTGGTATGTTTGACACCACTCAGCACCAGCGGCGTCGTATTTACTTTGACGAGGGTACTTTTTTACTATGTCACCGGCGTCTTCCTCTAGATTAATTTGTTTGATGGCAAGCCACCTACGTCCCGCTAGAAGGACGTTGTTTCCCGTGTAGTCCACGGACATAGCAGATGCCTGTAATTCCCGGTATTCCCATTTTGCTATTTCTGAACTCCAGTGCACAGACATTATTCCTTGACAAAACAATCTTCAAGGTGTTTTAAATAGCATAAACACTATTCTCATAAAAGACACCAAATAGTTTGTGACACCAAACTAAACAGGCTGCAAAACCTGTCAAATATCACAATCAGCTGTTTGATTTTTTTTCTTCTTTCCATAAAGGAAAAGGCAAAGGTTTTACACCATACAGCCAAGTCTTGGCACATTATTAAATCTTTTGAGCTATGTCTTCGTTTAATTATGTTTCTGTAAATATGGCCGCCACAAAGGGGATAGGCAATTTGAGGCGGCGTGATTGGATTGGCTCGGGATTCCTTATTAGAACGGGCAGATACGGGTATTTTAGTTCGAGATTCGTATAATTTCGCGTATTAATCTTCGATTAAGGCACAATAGCACTATCCTATTCCACTTTAAACTAGATTTCACAAAATAATTGAAAGTCAAAATAAAAACGACACTTTTCCTCCAAAAGGCCCAGAGCGAATCGTCAGGTGTTTGAGTTGAGTTGTTGTTGCAGTGGGTATGATTTAGTGTTGGGCACAGACCACATTGGGTCATGGAAAAATTTCCATTTTGAGAAAATAATATTTTTCAGAAAAAAAATATATTATTCCCATGTTTTTCCTTCAATTTTCTTAGAGAATGGAAAAAATAAAGGAAAGGATCTACGGAATAACCGTATCGTACCTATCTACGGAATAACCGTACCAACCTAAACCAAAATTGTACCACACATGTGGCGGAATTAGTGTTGTACCATAATCATAGACATACAAATGTATGACTTGAATGTTGAAACTGTTTTTATGTTTGCAAATTTGTATAATTTCCTGTAATTATACAAATTACAGCGTGGCGTCGTGAGCCAAACGATACAGCACTACATTGATTTCTATTTTTTGCCGGTTGTTAAAGGGAAGTACATCAAATGACAAAACCTATGTTTGGCCATACGTTTTGAATGCTTTGGCATGAATTATAATGAAGTGGACAAAAATATTGACAGTGGGAACAATTAAGTATTGATAAAAATGCGTCGCTACAGCATTAAGTGGTGCAGCAGTAGAAAAAGCGGAAATCAACCGAATGTTACAATACACGGCATGTGTTACTATTCTGCTCAAATATCTCATGTAATTAGACTCATTTAAGTAGTTTATTCATAAGTCTTGCCGAATTTAGCTTTGGTTAGTTTAGATTGCGTGTTGTTATTGTAAACAGACATATTATCGATATTCTGTTATTAAAACAATTCACTAAGGGGTTTTTATTATTTCATTATTATTATTTTTAAGGTTTACCTACAAATGTAAAAAGAAAGAAAGAATGGTTGGAAATTATAGGACTGCCGAACATAAACATTGGATCAAATACCATCTTCGCTTGTTCGCTCCATTTTGAAGAGTTTAATTTTAATAGAACTTTGAATGTAACTAGATTACATAATAATGCAATTTCATCGTTACATTTATTGGTAAATAACTTTATATTTAATTTTGATTAAAATGACTTATTACTTGCCTAGTAATAATAGCCTAGTATTAATCATACTTTGATTACAGTAAACTATACAAATTTGCAAACATAAAAAACAGTTTCAACATTCAAGCCATACATTTGCATGTCGATATTGACTTATCTATGACTATGGTACAACACTAAATCCGCCACAATTGTGGTACAGTTTTGGTTTAGGTAGGTACTAGGTATATACGTTTATTCCGTAGATAGGGCAGCTCCTTTCCTTTATTTTTTTTTTCATCCTCTAAGGAACTTGGAAATATTCTAAGTTTTCCACATTTGACGTTGTCAACTGTCAAAAGTTGAAGATGCTGAACGAAAACGATGGAGTCAAAGGTGGTGGTGTGCCTGTTGGAGGTTTTGTCGCTGTTGTGAAAACATTTTAGATCTCGTTTTTCTCGTTAAAAGCCACGAGTTATACATTATTTCTGACTATACTTATTTCTTACTCTAAATAAAACTTCAAAAGATATATTCTATCTAAACGTGGACATAATACGAGCCTCCGAAATTATTTTTCCGGAAAAATTCCCAATATTTTAAATTTTTCGGAAAATTACCCAACAAGAATACGGTTGTGTTGTATATGATCCCTTTTCGGCCATAAAGCTAAAGGAGACATCAAAAATAATGTTATCACGAAAACTCGAGGTTTTCGGTAACGGATGCACACGTCTCATCTGCGGTAGTGTATCATCTATGGTTCTGCATCTGCATCTGCTCTAGATGTCTGTCGATCGTGTTCGATCGAATCAAAATGATTCGAACAGCACCTGTGACCCGATAACCCAGTTACTATTAGAATTTCATGAGTCATGCACGCAATATTCGACATTATCACTAGAATTTTAGATATTATTCAACAATTCACAATATTATTGTTGTCTCGTTCACTCTCAGATGAAGTCCCTACTCACGACACGGTTGGCCTTCTCACTCTTCGTTTGGGTCGAATATTTGTTCGATAGAGCATTTGTTTGGTAAAACCTTCGTTCGGTTAACGAGTCAACGGATTAACGGATTAATGAGTCTACCAATCATTCATTCATCCTTGACGTATTGTCCATTAAATGGTAATTTTGTAAGTTTAATCTGTTTTTCGGTATGCTGCGTTTATTTAAGAGTACACTAACAAATATTAAAATATTAATGAATAATAAATTAGTAATTTTGAATGCTCATAAGATTTTTGTTATGTATTGTTTTGTAACACAGTTAGTTTTCCTAGAAAGAAATTTTAGTGTCCTAAGTGTGGTTTATCAATGATACATTTAACTATAAACACATTACCCGTCAGCAGGAAAGAAAAAAAAACTAACTGTATAATTTGACACATTTAAATGCTTTAAGGAAGTATCATGAGAGACGGGTAACCCGCTAAAATATCGAACATATGATCGAATCATTTGACCCATTCAAAAACGATCGACCGACACAGGCCTAATCTGCTCATTCCACTCGGCTCGTTGAAGACCGAACTGAACATGATTAGAGCAGTCAGTGGTTGGAAGATATAATATTTCCGAACGAAAACAATACTATCAAATCAAAATTGTATTTTTATTTTATCATTGTGCATACTATCATATTGTGCTTAGAAAAGATATCTCTGTAAAATTGATTCCTTCCTAATCCTATCAGATACATTTTTTCGGTTTTCTCGTTTTGCTGTACGCTTAAACCAATCATGAAATGTTAAGTCGACAAAGAAGCTCATAGTGTCATTTGTAGCTATTGCTGGTTGTTGGCACAAACTAATATGTGGTTGCATAAAGAAGTTTTAGACTTTTGAGTAATAAAGAAATAGTTTTTTTTTTCAATCCAACACCAATTGTGGTAACTATGTCTTGAACATATCTTTCCTAGTGTATCATGGCGTTTTTCCTGGCGAGAGTGCGTCGTAACTTGCTTACCAGAGCATTTCCACGATTCGCATTGGGCGTTGTTTTTATTTATATTTATTGTGAATACCTCATTTATTATGTCACTCAGTTACCGGTAAGTATAGAAAGGAATTTTAAGTTTTATTCACATTCAGTTTATGTGAAGAATCACGCAGGCACATAAATTGGACGTAGTTAAGCAAGAAGGATCCAATCCACAACATTATCAAAAATGACACATATACCAAACGGTTCCTAAAGTTTACCCTGAAGATCGGCAAAAACGATTCAAGTAAAAAGCAAATTAAATATATTTGTTTGACACAAGATACCATCCCACATATATGGCAGATCCATATTTTTATTTGACAGTAAGAATCAAATTTTCTTGAATCCTCATTAATATTGATTGAACAAAGCAACTGGCCAAGAAAGTTTAATGACAAAAAGGAATCAATGTGTCTAGATTGTTTTTGTTAAATCCTAATTAGTTCATTACAGTAACAGGAAAAATACCAAAAAGACCCAAAACATGGATCCTTTTTGTTGAACTCAAACTGATCTCACACTCACACTCAACAAAACATTAACTATAAGAGCCATTTTGTGATATTACTAAGAAGAATCATTTTAAAGTTGAACATAAACAAGTATTTTTACACTATATTCATAGTTTTATTCAATATAACTGCCTCCATGCCGGACTGCCACGCAGAGGTCCCAGGTTCGATACCCTGGCTGGGAGAAATATTTGTATGACCTACATTTATTTCTCTTGTGAGTTTGGGTGTAACTTGTGGTTGACTATGTGTGTGTCCATGGCACCCGCAGCACAGGGTTTTCCTAGTGCGGGGCTATGTTGAGTGTGTGTGTGTGTGCTTTATACTTATACTTGATAAATACCAAAGACTAATAATGTTAACAAATGGGTCTTTACTGTGAAACGGAATCATGCTACTGCAATTAAACATATAATTTATCAAAAAGGATCCAAAGCCATATTTTCCTAAATATCTCATAAAATACTAAACTATTCACAACAAAGCATACATAATATAAAAACATAGGCCTATATAATAAACTATATATATAAACCTAATAAATACAAAAATAAAATACCTAATAAATTATACAAAACATTAGAGTTACATGAATATACAAGTTTTCAAAATAAAACAAGAGTGAGAAAACTCTTCCAAACTTCAAACTACCATATCTAAAAATTTACTGTATGTGGATTGGATCCTTTTTGTTTAACTACGTCCAATTAGTAATGACTTACGACGAGAAGGAAAAAAACAGCTTTTTTTAAACACTAAAACATGCTTTTTTAAAAGAGCCGTTTAAAGAGTGCTTATACAAACGCTTTTCAATTAGACGCTTTTTAGTTTGAAGCTTATAAAATCATGTAGAAAATTGATTAAGCACATAGACTTTTATTTCAAAAAAACTTGCAACATTGCAATTTGATTTGCATTGATAGCGAAAAGCAAGAGTAGATCACTAAAGGTTTTAAGATAAGTAAGATTATTTGTAAAACATGAGTTTTATTTTTATCCATAAAATTCACATTGATGAATTGAGTTGTTTTGATAATGTAGATGGCAGGACTTGAAAGTTGAAAAGTTGAGTGTTGACCTGACCAATACTTATGCTTAAATTGAAAAGCGAGCTTATGTGCTCATTTTGAAAAGCAAACTTTTTTAAGTGCTTTTCGTTTAAACACCCTCCTCTACCTACAACTTCGTACACTTTGAAGTTTAATTTTTTTCCATGAGTTAAGACATGATATAATTAAAACGTGAATTAATATATAATAATAAATGTAGTTTATAGGATTTTTTTTACTAAAAAAGTACAATACTGTTTTTGACATATCTATCTGTGTCAGTATTAATAATTTCCAGGCTCTGAGCAATAAATGATTTATAAAAATAGTAATAATAATAGATCATATTATTATCTATATTATATTCTTTATTTCCATAAATTAGTCCAATAATTACATTATGTCTCAGTCAATACATGATAAAAATAATAAAATTTGAAATTAAATTGTATTATTAAGTTTATTGATTGAAGGTATCATGATGTTTTACTACTGTTATATTCAATTATTTTTGTGAAATTACTCCACTAGTTTGTTAGAATTATTAAGACAAAGGTTAAAGATTTAAAAATCCTTTGATGGATCAAACTGGACTTGAACCAATAAACTCGCTATTCCGTGGCTGAAGATTAATAAATAATTAGAGTAATTTTTTCGTCATTGTATTTTTAAATGAACCTGATATTATGTCATAAGACTTGAATTTGACATGTGAGACTTGGAAACTATTTTGACATTATGTACCATTGATAACCCAACAAACCATGTCTATAATTGTAGATCGTTTTTCCTTTCTAGTGTGATTGGCCAGCATTAAAAGAGGAGCCAGTAGAAGAGCCTGTATATGCAATGGTGCTGGCTGACACACATTTACTAGGCTCTCGGCAAGGCCACTGGCTGGACAAATGGCGAAGGGAATGGCAGATGCATAGAGCATTCCAGACAGCCATGACTTTACATAGACCAGAAACTGTGTTTGTTTTAGGTAAGATCCTGTCTGAAGTAAGATCCTACATTGGTGGAACTGGGAATCAAATTTGAATGAACAATATCATAATAAAACTGTAAAAATAAATAAAAAACAAAATTACATATTGCATGTAATGTAACCAATCATTTCCAAGTACAGCTATGATTAGACAAAACTGACTTTTCTGTTCTTCTAGGTGATCTTTTTGATGAAGGCAAATGGTGTTCAGAGAGTGAATTCAATGACTATGTAGACAGGTTCCATAAATTGTTCAAAGTTCCTGAAGGTACTTCCATGCATGTAGTGGTTGGCAACCATGATATAGGCTTTCACTACAGGTAAGTTTAGAATTACAAACAGTCTGGATTATTCTTATTTTTGGATAACTAACCCCTTAGTGATGGATTTTAATATTTTTTGAAGTAAGAAGCTCACAAGAGAAGTCATAGCAGCTGGTCCTGTAGAAGGGGACAAGTTTCGCAGGTATAATTGAAAATGCCTATTGTGTGTTATACCTCATTATAATGAGCTAGCTGATATAATCAAAGTGAGCGAATAACATCAGTTCAAACAGGCCCTTATTTAGTCATATTTTCTATCTGTCTAATATTAACGTCAGTCTACAAAAAGGATTACCCCGAAACTGGCGCGGCGATTTGAGATTAAGCTGGACGCACCTCCAGTAAAATTAGTGAGCATAAGAGCCAATCACTTTGTCCTAATCAACTCTATGGCTATGGAAGGAGATGGCTGTCGACTCTGTACTAGAGCTATGAAGAAAATAGACCGGATTGCAGGTAAGACTAATAACGTTGCAGTAGTAGCATAGTATAATAAGACGAGAACTTAAAAATACAAACGTGGCTACGCAACTTGTATGTCTGTGTGTGCGCCCGCCGCGCGCCATGAACGGATATACAGAATTGCATAATCTCACGGCAGTGTTGGGCGTTAATCGATTAAATTTCAATCATAAATTGAATTGACTAAAAAACTAATTGCAATTGATTTAATTGCAATTAAAATCAATTGCAATTAAAATCAAGCGCAACTTCGCAATTAATTTTAATTGCAATTGATTTTGATTCAATTGATTTTAATTGCAATTAAATTAATTGCTATTAATTTTTTTAATTGTTCATTTCTAAATCCAAAATGCACGAGCACGATTTTTCAAATAATGGGGTGTGAGTGGGAAGTGGGAGGGGAGTGGGCGGGGAGTGAGTGAGGAGAGAGTGAGTCAGTGGGGTGATCTCGTAACGAATATGGCACTCTACTCTAAAGGCTTCGTTAAACAGAACGCGTACTTAACGCTGCGTAGTAGCGTTATAGCGCAGCGTTATAACGTCGCGTTTTTTTCATGTCACACAGATTGTATATATTAGCCCAACGCTCCCAACGTAACGTACCATTCGCCAAAGCGTTGTGCAGATCGATAGCAGAGTGTGAAAAGTTTGTTCGTTTTGGAGATGTCGAGTGATTCAGATGTGGAAGAATTATTACTTTTATATGCTTTATCACGGTCACAGAGAAAAAGAGTATGGGTTTCGTATTATATAAGCATGGGTGTATTCTAACTAATTCTATTAAATTTTCGGTCATTTTAACACGTATTCACTCGGACGCTAAAACAAAATTTGTAAAAAAATACAACGCCCAACGCTATAGCGTCCTAACGCCGCGACAGAGCGTTGCGTACTGCTAGCGCTGGCGCTCTGTTTGACGGTATTTTACCATAGTAGTACAACACATCTTAGCGTCATAGCGCGGCGTCAAGTTAGCGCTCTGACGCGCGCTAGTAACGCGTTCTGTTTGACAAAGCCTTAAATCTAGTCTGGCACGATTTTTCAAATGGCAAGTTGGGTATCTTTTACGAGGTATTTGGGGGTGCTCATTACGAATATAGCATTTATTTCTAAATCCAAGATGGCTTCCTACTCACTTCCCACTCACTCCCCACTCACTCTCCACTCCCAATTATTTGAACAATTGTGCCCGCCATCTTGGATTTAGAAATGAGTGCCATATTCGTTACGAGAGCACCCCAAATACTATACTGCCCATGCTATATTCAGCAACGGAGGCACTCACTCACTCAGTCCTCACTCACTCACCACTCACTCCCCACTCACTCACTCACTCGCTCTATAAATTTATCATAATTGTCAGTTTTAATTGTTAATTAAAAACATTGTAAAGATTGAAAATTGATCAATTGTTAATTGTAGATATACGCGATTAACAATTGATTAATTGTTAGTTACGAGAACAGCAATTAACAATTCATTAATTGTTAGTTGCGAGAACAGCAACTAACAATTAATAAATTGTTAATTGCTGTTTCGCAATTGACAATTAATTAATTATCAATCTTTAATTGCCTGAACAATTAAATTTTGCCCAACACTGTCTCACGGTGCACTGACGTTGCATAACGCGGGTCTTCATACTATTACGCACCATTCATTACAGAATTTGTAGCGTTTGCTGTGTTTAAAAAATGACATGAACTAGTAGATGTGTTTGTTGTTGTGTTTGGTGGTTTGAACAAGGTGACTCGAAATTCAAAATTGTTCAGTATTTTATTTTTATTTCATAATCATACTCCTGCAATCCGCAATGTTGTTAATAAAAACATCAGTACATAAGTACTGCATTTAACAAAGGTTATTTTAATGCACAAGAATACAGAGATAAAAGTCCTAATTTTTCAAATCATTTGTACAACTGAAATAATAAAGTGACAACCCTACGTTCCGAGCGAAATGTAAGCATTGATACGCTGTAGTACAAGTATATCAACCTCTAAATGTCGATAACACTTAACTTTTTTTATTTCAATTTTTTTTTCTTAGTACGGAGTTCCAAATTAGAAAAAAAAATCCGAAAATAGTTTTTATTTAACCTTAATGTCACGTATTTATCAAACTGCCCTCGTACGTCGGCCTTGGTATACCTGGTGGTAAGACACCTGATCAGTTGGTGTGCTATTCAAAACTTCAATTCCAAAGTTTTGAGGGGCACTGCCAACTGAGACCTAAAATCCCAAGTGCCTGTAGTGTCATCAACACCCTTCATAACCGGAACACGGTAATGCTCATATAACTGCTTGCCTACTCGTATATCACTATATCTACTAATTTCGATTCTGTTACAGATATTTTAAAATGCAGTAATGGATCTCCCTTGTGCAAAGGAGATGTAAGGCTAGAAAACTATACAAGGCCTATAATTATGCAGGTGAATACGCCTTTATAATGTTTTTATTGAAATGCTTGAAAATTACTTCCACTTGTATTCATATCAATGCAATGTTATAATTATCAATAAGTAGGATATCAGTGACTATAACTCTTTCTTTTCAGCACTATCCTTTCTACAGAGAATCTGATAGTATATGCACAGAATCAGATGCAGCTCCTTTGCCGGAAAGAAATAATTTATTCGAAGAGCGCTGGGACTGCCTTTCTAAAGAGTCTACTGAGTATTTAGTTGAGAATCTGTTACCCCGTGCGGTGTTCGGCGCACACACGCACCATAGCTGTAGAGTAAGGCACAGCTTCAAGCCGACCACCAATCATAAGATTGAATTTGTTGAATACACTGTACCGTCATTTTCGTGGAGAAATAGGTTGGATCCCAAGTATTATTTAGTAAGTATAGTGTAAGTAAAAAATGTTATTTTTTATTAACCTGACGCCACAGTATTTCAATAATTAAAACGTACAACTTTTGCCGCTAAACTATAATTTTTGAAAAATTTCTATGCAAATCTGTGTCTGTTCCATTGATTTGCATGGGAAGTCCAACAAATCCAAAGGATCTTGAATAAGTCTGTTTTTTAATGATGCAATCAATCAGTCAAAAATGGATTTTAATTCAAGAAATTATATTCAACCACGCTCCATGATCTACAATTTACTTTTAAAACATCGCCTTGGTTTTTTTTATGATACTAAGTGATGTGCGCCTGATGGTAAACGACACGCCTGTCTATAACAGTTAAAGTGCCAGCGTTTAAAATCGCAAAGATCTGAGGTGAGCTGCCTCTGGATCCATCACCCTGGGACATAAGTTGAAAAGTCTCAAGTGCCTGTAATTTAACCAGCACTCTTACCCTTCAAAACCGGAACGCAGTAATGCTCACATTACTGCTTGGTGGCAGAAATAGGTAAGGTGGCAGTACTTCCCTGGATGAACTCTTTCACAAGGAGTTCTAGTGCTACCAATAAAAGTACGCTGTACTTGCTTGTACCCAGGTAACAGTGAGCCCCGCAGAGATACAAGTGTCAAAATGCGGGCTGCCGCGTGAGTGGACAATGCAGGTGACCGCTGTCCTAATGTTGATGGTGTTACTGCTTTTCCTAAGATATTATGGCACTGGAAATTACTTCAACTATAAACTTTTGTAAGTACATACAACTCTTATTTGAGCGCTTTAAGCAATTTAACTCACACTTGAATCATGCGCTCCAAATCATTGTGGGTTTTTAGACTTTGTTCATAACGGTTTCTCAAGTCAGAGAAAAAAATCATGGGTAACGTAAAATATGGCGAGCCTGGCATGTCAAGTGTAAAGATTTATTATGTATAAAAATAGGTGAACATTTTACGTTATTTGCATAGTGTTGCTGTTTATCTAAATAAGTGTGCCAATTTCATGTGAAAACTGACATGTTACTTCCAAACCCTGTATTGGCGGCGTATTTAATTTTGATATTGTCTGTGAAATAAGTTAGTTTTTTTTAATGATACAACAACGCGTGGGTAAAAGTCTAACTTATCAATTTTTGTGTTAATTATTTTTTTTTCATTTAGTAATGAAATGGTCATAGTTGACATAAAGAAAGAAGTAAAATAATTGTAGTGCCAGTCAACCACACCAATTACCTGTTCTCAAATTAGTAAATTACTCGTATTAGGAGTACCAGAGCAACGAAATTAACTCCGGGACACTACCCAGAGCACGCCGACAGGGACCAAATGGGAAAAGTTTCCCAATTTCGTCCTACCGGGAACCGAATCCAATCCCTCTTCATGTAGCACCCACAGTGTTAACCGCTGGGCCACAGAGGTCGTATAAATAATAAATAGTATCTCATGAGAAATTCTGTTCTATTTATTTACTCATATATTATTTTTGTTACAGAGTCGGGAAAAAGATGTAGCAAAAAAGACTGTCATGGCTGCATATGTAGGTTGTATATTTGTATGGTTGTATTTGTAGGTTGATTATTTATTAATTACATAATCGAACAAAATATTTTGTGATGGACCAGCTGACGTTCAATGAATCTTTGTTACTGTTCATATCAAATTAATCTTTTATTTTGTGTACATACTGTGATTGTAGCGCAAAATCTCACACGTACTGCAGTGTATAAACACTACAGTACTACAGTGATGAATGACTTATTGTTTTCAATACTATTTTTAATTTTTATTATGGACTAAACTAAGAATGTGTAAAATTAGGGTACGTATAAGTACAATGCACACACATCATTGAGGTTAGTAGCGCAAAAGTGGTGTAACTCCATGAAAAGCGTATGTAGAAGATGAGGGATTTAAAATGAGTTAATTTCATTTTAGCAATATAAAAAATCAATAATAATAGTTAGCCTGTGTACAGTCCCACTGCTGGGCACAATTCTCCTCTCATATTGAGAGGGCTTGGGCTATAGTTGCCATGCGGGCCCAGTGCGTATTGGGAACTCCACACACATAATTACATTGTTTTGCAGATATGCGCACGTTGGTGCATGGTGTTGACACTAAACACCTGTGAGACGATTTAAAGTGTAATTCGCATAATGACCAACATAATAGTTATTAAATATTTTTTATAAATTAAAATAGCATCTAAATATATAATAATTATGTACTTTAATATCATTTAAAGTAATATTGTTAAAAATAATTCAATGTGGGTTACACCACTTTTGCGCTGTCCTTCACCTAACTGTCGCATGTGACACTTTTGTTGTAAGCGAGTAAAATATATGATCTTACTTAGTTTGAAAAAAAAAACGAACATTCTACACTAATCGTCTACCTTTTTAACCCCCGAATAAAAACAAGGAGAGTTATAAGTTTGAAACCTTTGTCTGTGTTTCTGTCTGCGGCTTTGTAGCTCCCAAACGAATGAACTAATCTCAAGACTTTTTAAGGCTAATTTAATTGGGGTGATTATCAGCTATGTTTGATGAACATCTGTTCACCTGTTTAAAGATCATCAGCTCTTTTCTTAGTGTAGGTGACCACTTTTCGTTACATTGGAGCGGTGAAATAGCTTTAAAACAAAAAGTAGGAGGTTCTCAATTCGACTTTTTTTTGTATGTATATTACGCGATAACTCCTGTAAAATTTGTTAACCGATTTTGATAATTCTTTTTTTTGTTGGAAAGAGGGTACCTCAGTAGTGGTCCCATTTCAATTTGAAGAAAATATTCCACCTCTAAGGGTGGCAAACTATGAACGAATTCTGAGGTCGGTTTTTTAGTACTCTATACTGAGATTGTAAATTCCTATGTGAGGGAAGGTCAAAATTCCGATCACTGTGATATCGGGTCGATTTGTAATTTGGTGTACTATGGAATACCGACGATATTATATTAAAATGGTAACTTTGATCTGCAACCAGAACAGTATCCAAGCTACCCAATCCCTGTACAACTTAAGGTAGAACCATCGCGTTTGGCCGCATTAAATTGGTCTCGAAGGGTTGTTAACTTACAGATGGTAACTCTAATGAGTTTTTGGAGTACACAGTTTTATATGGATTTTTTTTATGTAATGTTATTACAAATGAGCATACGCTGACTGAAAATACGCTGCTAAGAAAATTGTGTCTAAAGCGATAGTTAGGAGTGATTGTTCCTACATATGTCATTCCCATAAATAAAATAAAGACATTGTACATTCCGAACAATTTGAATACGTACTTATTGTGTACAATATACATTTAATTACATACGTTTATTTTTATTTTTAACCCCCCGATTGTACAATCGTCCTTGCTAAGATTTCTATTAAATTTGATATCTTATAGAAAATACTTTGCTGACATTAACTAATCTGTGATACGCGCTCTCAAAGGTGGATTGATTTTTAAGATAGGCATGCTTTACCCAGAATATGGATCGAAATATCAATCGTAGATTACAATATATGGATTGATATTGATTATTAATTTCAAGCGTGAAAGATTGCTAAATTCCGTGAAACTGGGTAATTCTTAAATGGTGCACGAAGAACCCCCGCTGACATTGTATCGGTAGTTCAGTCTGCAAGTGAATACAGTTTAACGATTCGGTATCGGCCGATAAATTCACGGTAGAAAAAACAATGGAAATGCTAAGGCATTTCCTCGATTACTATCAGAACCACTGAGGCCTAAACTCACAATGATAAGTGTTAAACACTATGAAATCTTGATAACGATTGGACGCTGTTTCTAATTTAATAAGATTTAAAAAAATTGTGCACTGTTAGTATAATTTAAACTTTTACCAGTCGGCGTAACGTTGTAAGTTCAATACCTATTATTACAAGTTGCGACGTTTTGCAGCACGTTGAAATTTCATTCAATGTGCAGCCATCTAGTGAACAGTAGCTGAAAGACGAACGATTAACGCCTATTAACGTTCTCCAAAATCTTCGTTTTCTGTAACAAAAATCTATTACGATAAACAGAAGATGGAAAAGTTATCAAAATAAAATAAAATAAGACATATTGCGGCGGAACGGAATGGAAGCGAATTTTTGGAACGGTATTGTACATAGCATACTTAACTTTATGATCAATTGTGTAACGTGCAAACTAGATATGAGCCAAAAATCACGTTGCGCGTCTTCCGAGGAATTGTCACACGCGGTCGAGAACTCCAGAATGCTCGCGCATTCGCGACAGTTCCGCAGCTGTCGTCGGCGACGATTGGCCAATCCGCGGGAAGTGCCGCGAAGACAGGCACAGTATGACGTCCAACTTCGACTTCGAAATACTGCAGCCTCAAGACGCGGTCGCTAGAATACTCGAGGCGAAGTTGACGCTTCCGTTCCATTCCGTTCCGCAGCAATGTCAATTGAGCCTTAACGATGATATGAATCACTACCACGGAGAATGTTACAAGTGCGACTATAATTTTTGCAAAATAACGCATTTTTCCACGATTTTCGAGGTTTTGCGTGTGATAATTGACCATGACCATAACTTATGTACACAGCGAAAATGGCGGACTGAGCTCAAGTATGTGGAATTCCGCGTACTCTTGGTACAGTGCCAACATCGCTGAGCACTTGTACTATATTTATTGTTCTATGGATAAATTAAGTTCATAGGATACTCGATTGCATTTAAACTGATCTGTCCGTAAACTATCATCCGACTGTTAAATCAGTATGACGCTCTGCCACACGCGCTTATTTGCCTTATTTGTTTAGTCTACTAATGCACCCAATACTTTCTATTCTTTCTTTAAGCAAACTCAAAGAATCTTTATTTCATACGTAAGCAAATTGCAATTGAAGTCGCCACATTGATTAAACTGCTACTACTACTACTACTCATTCTTACGGCAGATTCCTCTGAGAAGAATGAGAAAGAAACTCTAGGAGTTCCTATTTGTAAATAAATATTAAGAAGAATTTTAGAAGCATTACTGTGTTTCGGTTTTCAAGGGTAAAGGTGCTGGTGAAATTACAAACACAAGGGATTTGTCAACTTATGTCTCAAGGTGACGGGCGCAGTGGCAGTGCCCCTCAGATCTTTGCGATTTAAAGCTCTAAGTGGCACTGCAGCTGTTATGGATATAGGTGTAGCTTACCATCAGGCGCACGACTTGTTCGTCCCATCACTTGATATTATAAAAAAGTCAGTAGGTTTAAACCAGTACTTAAGCAAACTTTTATGATAAGAATGCTGGAGTTTGCCTCAATTACACTGTTTAATCCAACAGAATAAAGAGTAGGTAACTTGTATACAATATATAATATAGCCTTAATAATATAACTACAATATATGTATATAATCTTGCCATGACTACAAGTAGTCACGTTATACACACCGTTTGCTTATCATTACAATATTTAAATATAGTGAGGGCTTTGACCTGATCGTTATATTTAAGAAATTGAGATTAGTGAATCCACAAAAAATAAAACGAGCATAGACACTATAAGAAGTATTGTTAGTATTTTTTCTATTTATTCGAAAATGCTGATAGAGTCAGCAACATGAAGACATAATTGTATAGAAGTAATTTTATTAAAACCTGTTTCCTTGACCTCTATTATCAATATCTATGTATAAGCAAAATGATAATATGACATTATAGGTTTAACTTTCTTGACTTTTAAATATTGTTTTAAACCATACTAGAACATTTTTACTAATAAATGTATAAATTTCAAACTTGTTACTGGTGGTGTCGTGCTGGTAATAAATAACCTCTACATTCCGGCAGTACGACGTAGGTACCTACGTACCTACTGTCACCCACAATGAAATGTTAAAAAAAAAGTAAAAAACAAAATAAGTGACAATAAATTGTTATTTCGTACGAATTATTAATTTCGTGAGTTAAACAAATCTAACAAAAACAAATTATTTTACAACAAAATAAACAATACATCACAACTTAATCTAAATGTATGTACCTACAAGGTCAAGAGCGCGTCCAACTTGACATTTATGATTTCAATTCAAGTCTATGCCTGTTGAGATAAGAATTATTCCAAATTCCGGTGTTCTGTGCAGAGCTCGAGTAGAAAGTTGGTTAAATTAGACACTCTATTAATGACAATGCTACTTAATGAATAAAAACCTCCTCGACGTTACCTTTTGATTTGACTTTTACCACTGGCCACTTCATTTAGTGAAAAACAATGTCAATGTCACGGTATTCCTTCTAGCCATAAAGGATGGAAAAAAATAAATTCTAGCACGGTCATTGACTTACAATTATATGGACGTCGGGTCCGCGCTAAAAAGTGTCCGCACTTGTAAGGCGCTAAAATCGGATACAGAGCGCGACACTCCGCTTTAGTCTTCATTTGTTCTACTGACAGCGCGATACTGCGATTACATTACAATTTAAATTTCGAATAGGTTGACTTGGGACATTTTTTTCGTGGTTTTTGTATTAGACCCGTCGTCTATTTATTTGTAAGTCAATGAGCACGGTGATAAGATTTGGGTCGACTTTCATATATTATTTTCACAAACTTGACGCTGGCGACATCCAAAAATAGATACCGCCAATAAGGAAAAAAAAAGATTCGCACTTTATAATTTTCTAGTAGGTTAATGATTCTCACAAATAGTTTTAAATAGTACTAGATAATAACAGCCCCTATCTGTGGCTGAAACTGTAACGGCGAAGAGCCAAGAAAAAAATTGGTAACATAATTAGGAAGCACTTTGTAAAGACGCTCTATGGTAAAATGTACGGTCGACCTGAAGGAGAAACATGGCTGAGAAGGAATTGAGAAAGGAGAGTGAGGGTCGTATTCTAGAACTCTACTCAATACTCAAGTCAGGACTTGAGTAGTGCAGTGCGCACTGAAAATCATACTCAAGTCCCTGCCATTAGGGTCGTACGACCCTTACTGTCGTATTCCAGAACTCTACTCAATGCTCAAGTCAGGATTGCACTGGCAACACAAGCACTGGAAATACGACCCTAATGGCAGGGACTTGAGTATGATTTCGAGTGCTTTAAACCATACTCAAATCCTGACTTGAGCATTGAGTAGAGTTCTAGAATACGACCCTTAGTGTGCTGAGGGGGAAGCTTACGTCTAGTAGTGAATTTAGATAATAAAATTGATTTGATGATGCCTTTGTAAAGTTAATAACCAAAATTATTGATGGTTATTTTTTACTAAAATATTAATTTAATTAATAAAATCTGTCTACAACAACTGTGCAGAAATAAATGTCACTCTGTACATTTCAGAGTTTTTTACAGTTTAGAGTAAATTTGTGAAACAAAGACTATAATCAAGAGAACAATTATATTGTACTATATTGTATAAATCCTGAAATACGAGGAAACCTGACAGACTGGTACAAAAAAAGCAAAGTTGTTTGTCCGACATTCGTTCGACCACTACGCCACGTGTTTGTTCACGACTATAAATACCTTTGTGCGGCCAGACGGCAGGCTTTCCTTAATTGACTCCGATCGAGGCAACAACTACTCAGAGTTCCACTCAGGTATAATATTTATAGAAATATTTCTATGTATAGTGATGGCTATGTAATAAATTATTGCTTTGTAAAATATCTCAAATTACAAATGTCAGTGGCATAGTGTTAATTAAACTTGCTTTAAATTACGACATACATTTATTGATTGCTTTATATGCAGTGGTATTATTTTATTTCCCTGAAATACTTGAGAATGTACGGTAGTAAAGTTTATGTAAGAGTACCTGAAGAAAGACGAACGTCAAAATGGGACAAAAAGGCAGTAATGGGCACTTTACTATGATATAGATGTTGGGTAGAAAGTATTGATCCATAATAGAGTAGTCGTTGCAAGACACGTGGATATAATTGTGGAAGATGTTAAGCTTATTGCTTTTGATGATAATGAAGAGGAAAATAAGAAAGATGAAGAAAAATGGGAAGATACACTAGACGAAATTGAAACAGAAGATCGATATATCGATATCGATACCTAATAATAGTGGTAATGAAGTGATAATGAACAATGAGAAGAGAACTTCTAAGAGATAAATTAAAGCGCCACATCGATTTGATGAAGAGTTTGGTTATTAGTGTATAATCGTTAATTATTGTGACGCGATGGTGCCAGATACTTTTCAAGAGGTGACTACGTGTGACGAGGCTGAACAATGGAAAGAGGTTATGGACCGTGAGATGAACAGCCTAGTGAAAAATAATACTTGAACTCTAGTAAATGAACCACGGGAAAAAGAGGTACTAGATGTAAAATGGGTGTACAAGAAGAAATCGGCTGATTTTTATAAAGCCAGGTTAGTGGTTAGAGGTTTTCAACAAACCACCAATGTTGATGATACGTATTCGCCTGTTGCTAGGATGCAAATTTTGACACTACTTTTATCGTAGTATTGCCAATTTAACTTACATGTGCATAAAATGGATGTAGAGACTGCATTTTTGAACGGTAAAGTGTTATCAGAAGTGTATGTTAAACAGCCTCTTGGTTATGACGACGGTAACTGACAAAGTGTATAAACTGCATAAATCTCGTTATGGCTTAAAAAAAGCCCACGTGCTTGGTACGAATGCTTTAATAGTCTTATAACAACTATTGGCTTTCAAAGGAGTAAATATGACTATTGTCTTTATGTCAAAGCAGACGATAATCAAACTGTGTACATTTTAGTATATGTCGACGACTTATTGATTGCATACAAAGATGAGCAAATGGTTGCTACAATTAAAAATAAATTAAGTAACTATTTTAGAATGAAGGTCATGGGAAAGGTTAGGAACTACATAGGTATTGATGTGGAGTATGATTATGCGAAAGCTAATATTTTAACCTTAAGCCCGGAAAAGTACATAGATACGTTAGCCAAAAAATATAAAATTGAGAAATGTAAATTGTTCAAAACCCTTAAATATGGAGATTAATGCCAAACAAGTTTGGCATTAATCTCCATCCATTAACATCTTTATTAAATTCACATTTCTCTTGAGAAATGTGAATTTAATGAAGATGTTAAATACAGGAACATGGTAGGAGCTCTGTTGTATATTAGTTCTGGCACTCAACCAGACGTTGCCTTTAGTGTCAATTACTTGAGCAAGTGTCAGAACTGCTATGGTGAGATTCATTTCAAATATGCATTACGTGTTTTAAAATATTTATACTTGACAAAAGGTCTCAAGCTCACTTATTATCGGAATTTAAAAGCTAATATAATGGATTGTTACGTAGATGCCGATTGGGCCGGAGATATCGTAGACCGTAAGTCTACTATTGGTTTTGTGATTCGATTATTTGGTAACGCTATGTACTGGAAGTCAAAGAAACAAATTGCCCTCCCACAAATGCGCAATTCCTGAACTTCCCAGTAAGCCTTGGTTCTTCACTAGGAAATCGATACCGAAAAATATCACCTCTGCAATCATTCGCCTTCGCTTAGCTCACATATGCACGCCCGTGTTATTGGTCAAAATTCGTGTTCGAGACCACTCCCTGTGTGAGTGCGGTCTGGCAGAGGGTACCCACAAGCACCTGTTCTTTGACTGTAATAGTATCGTCATTCCTCGATATGATATCCTCCCCTCTAAAATCCCCCGTCCCGTCAATATCAACTTCCTCTTAACGTTAGAACACTCTTCCTTTGTCTATGCCCTGTGCAAGTTTATTAAAAAATAATCTGTTTCTGTAATAGTCTGTGTATGTATGTAGCCCTGTTATTGTAGATTCTTTCCTCAGTTAACCTTTTCGGGAATTTACCGGTCAATCGTTGAGTTAAAAAACGCGTGCGTTTCTCAACTTGGCATTGACGGGTTACCGATATGGTATCGATGGGGTTGTAACATTATAAAGTAGAAGTACCGCACATAGTCTTTGTTACTCGACCTTGGCGAAATCATCGTTTGTTTCGATGGAGCCATACCATTTAAAAGAAGAAGAAGATGTTAAATTTTCGCATGTTCGATGTATGCCGTGAAGAAAGTTTCGTAGTAGTAGAGCTCCTAATGAAAGAAATCGTCTTGGGAAGTACTACAACCTTAACTATTTCTGCCGCCAAACCGCAACGTAAGCATTACTGCGTTCTGGTTTTGTAAGAAAAGGGTGATAAGTGAAACTACAGGTACATGGGACTTGTTAACTTTACATAGATTGCCCGACGCACGATTTGTTCGTCCCGTCATTTGTAGACATTAAAAAAAGGTCTCCGAATCTACCTCCATAACCAGTAGAAAATTGAAAATTATAAAACTTCACATATTCATAACTTATTTCATGTAGTTTGTATTATTTTTACGACTTTCATGTGATAAAAGCACTTATCGATAATTTTCGGATTAGTTTTCTCTACCTAATTCCGGTGGCAATTTTTATTATTTAAGTTTTCGAGTATATTATTATAAAATATGAAATAATATTTCAGAATACTACTCCCCAATATTAAGTAATACTTCATGATAATATTCTGTAATATTGAACGTAGGGAAAATTAACTCGAAAATTACTCTTTTGACGTATAATCACATATACCATGGGTACGAAATGTTTACTTATTAGGTAATTTTTATTTGTTTATAACAGGAATGTATCATGTAACTACATATACCTATATGTGTTAGATGGATTATTGTTGGTTGTGGATTATGTGGATTATTCCTTTTCGATCTGCCTAAATCTTGTCTCATGTTCCCCCCATTTTTCGGTGATATGAACCCTTTGTAGCTTGGAATCGATGCCTAGGAGCCGATAAAGATCGCTTTGGTTATGTTTTAAATAATAATGAAAACGGTATAACAGAAATACATAATTAAACATTTAAACTTTTATTTGTGATTTATGTTGAACTTATTATTAGGAATAAAACTATAAAATAGAGAAATAGGAACTTTCACACATACCGTTTATACATTAGAAATAACGCAATGCGTAAATTGTAAAATTAATACTGTCAAAAAACTAAAAAAACTACTGTTTCAGAACTAAATAAATGCAAAGCGATACATTCACACAATACTATAATAATCTTAAAATCTGAAACTAATTACTTACTGCTAAATAAGCATTCGACTGATTTATTAAAATAATGGATTAATACTTCTATCAAAACTTATATTACTTGAATCGTAAGGACAACGTCTATCATTTTTGGTGTATAGATCCAATGAATTTTGTAAACGTTGTTAAAAACAAATATTATAAAATAAAGAATTATTTGATTTGAACCAAATTACTCAGTCTTGTGCTAGTTACACTAATAAAATAATTGCGTTAGAAAACGAAACTAACTATTCTAATAAATGCGGGGTTCTAACGCAAAGTTACATCAAGTCTTAAACATATGGTGTTTGAATAAAAAAATCAAATGTCTAACTTATGACACTTTAAAATAAATACTGCGACATCTCTATTCCGGTATATCGCTAAGCTTCATTCCACCTGGTCTTCGGTACATGCGTTCCTGAATAGGCAGTTCTCCGATAAGAAAACGGTCCAAAGCTTTGATGGCTATACGGGAGTGACCCGAACTTCTGAAAGCAGTGCTGGCGTCTCGGCCAGCGTACTCCATCATGATTTCGTCACCACCGGGGTGCTGAAACAAAAGGAATAGATTCTTAACATTCAATTGTCAATTGTCTCCAAGTTTCTGACTTACAAAAAAGCGCTGCAAAACTTGTGGTTATATTTTTTCTTCGAAGACAGTACCTATTAAACTTTAGAAGTTTAAAAATCAAAATAGGAAACTCACCTCATCAAAGAAGCTGGTGATATCGTATACGCGGTCGTATATTACCACCCAGCAGTCGTCATAACTGTCGTGGAGATTAACTTCTGCCAGAGTAATGACGTTTTCTTTAGCTGCAGGGCTCCCTGGTTCAATGCGAGATGACCACTGCTGGGTCTTCTTGGCCGCCCAAGGGTTGACGAGACGCAGCGCCGCCATAGTAAAGGCCATGAAATTAAGGTCTGTATTGTCCTCGCTGACCGGCAGAGTCGCTGGCAGGTTTATTTCAGGAGGAGTCTGTACGGCAGCCATTGTTTCTTGTGCTTTTCCCTTCTTCTCAAAAAAACTTCAATTGACGTTTCCAATCGTTCGTCTTGCTTTATACTTCACCAAACTTCACCTCGCTTGACACTCGTTTATAATTCAACCTGAATATTTTATCTAATGAAGCGTTGGTATCTCGAAGCGGACTGTTTGCGAATGAACGTTGAAATATCCCGCTAGTTACTCTGTAAAGGAATTACGAAACCGTATTAGTGACGGCTTTTGCTCTGCAACAACCATAGGGTTTGGTTACTAGGTTTCAGTTTAAGCAAGTATCATTAATTACATCCTTGAACATGTGTCAGCTGTCAAATTTAAACACACGCCATCGAACCATAAAACAAGGTTATTGTTTTTTGAATACAGCTGAATATTGTTTTTATTACAGTGTTTAGTAAATAACAGCATCATAGCAACCCTAGTAAGACTATTAGAGCATGACTAGACAACATAATATGATACTGTTGGCTTAGATCAGTTTACACCAGTCTCGGCCTACCGCAAGGGCGTTTACAATTTCCCGCCCATACAGGCTTTATATAAAACGCACGAAGCGCCTGGTACTCTAGTAGAAGTCTATACTGAAGTCAGTATTTATATAATCTCGTTACTTCCACAAGTTTACGTCAATTGTATAAATTGTTTAGTTAAGATAATTTAGCTTCTTATCAAAAGAACTTCGCAAATAATAATTCGGGCGCGACTTTTATCATAGTTCTGTCTTCTTTTTTAGATATTTCATTTCAGATAAACCTTTTAATAACAAGTGTTTTAGATTACGCATCACAGTTAAGTCTATTATTTTGTAGAATTATGACTTGTTTATAAAATATTATTGATTATATAGATACCTACTACCTACCTATATCCAAATAAAAAAAATATCATATACATTAATATTTATATTTACCTTCAAATCGATCTTCAATGTGTTATCTTTGTTGGTGCTCGAAACGAGGGGAGTGACTGTCACACCAATTGTCACTGTACCACCAATTCTTGTTATTTAAATTTGTCACTAAATCATGTAAACGTTGCATAAGAGCGCTGGACATTGCCACGAAATTAAAATTGACTTGTCATCTATTACTTGCGATTTGTGAATGAAGTGCCGATACGTCGACGCGGTCGCTTATATAGTAGAAGATCGCACTGTGCGCACGCGCCGCGGTCAGCGAGCACTGATCTGATGTAATCGCGCTCTTATCTTACTAGTACGCACGCTCTCGCTCCGAGCTTCTTCGGTCTTATATTCCTTAATTTGTGAATACTTTGTCTACCGACTATGACCATCATAAAAGCTTACCTGCTTATTGTGCTTAATCTTTTAAAAAAAGATACATAGCACTTTGCAAAGAATACAATAATAATACGTACAATAAACGCCACCTTAGCGCTGTTTTGAGAGAAAAGTAATACGTTTTAAAATTATCTATCAAAGGCAACATGGCTTATTAAACGTGCAGAAACTTTTTACTCGAACTGTTTAATATTATGATGAAGATAGACGTATCTTCAGTAAGTAGTAGTGCATTACAGTAATAATCTGAAAACATAAGAAGGAATTTTAAAATAATATGCCTGTAATACGTGGAAATAACAACATGGTAAAGTTATAGGAAAAGTTTTGTTGTAAATTACCTACGTTAGGTTTGTACCAGTTCTAGGACAGAGATGCTACGTCTGGTAGAATGTTTAGATGCTTAAAAATTTTCCTCATAATATTGTACACAAACAAACTGAAAGAAAATACAGCTGTTTCTAAAAAGTTGAGACTTGAGAAAGTCAAAGTGTGTGTCGGTATATTCTTTTAAACGATAAAAGAGTAAGTGTGATAACAACATCAATGTGATGATTAACCAATCTGTAAATTTTATTCTATAATGTAAACAAATTTATGTAATTTTCCGTGAGATATACGTACCTAAGTAAGATGTGGGGCGTGGATACTCGTAAGGTTTTTCCCATATTCTTTTTATCACAAGAAATCATGAATAAGTCCATTTGTTTAGATACAAACTTGCGTGACGTTGTCGGTCGTCGAACTGTGATCGCGCGATATCCTCCAAATATGCGTCATTATGAAATCAGCATTATCACCATATTATGATGCGTCTTTATAACAACAAAACGGGGAGTATTTTGTTTAGTTTTGTGCCTCCATTACGCAGGACATTTCTTGTTTTTCAACGTGTCCATTTGACAAATACATAGGTATCGTTGCTTAAGTCACATTTCGTTCTAAACTAATATGTTGGTACAGGATTAAGAGCACGTCAAGCTCGATACTTGAGTTTTAAATTCAACTCAATTTTGCTTGTGATAAGCAAGCTTCATAGTCCAAAGTGGCATGCTTTAGGTGCTCTTGACTATAAAGAAAGAAAAAGAAGAAGAAGAAGAAAAAGAAAAAGAAAAAGAAAAAGAAAAAGAAAAAGAAAAAGAA